TTTGTTCGAGAATCTGTCCATGATCTCTAATTAACTACAGCTTGAAAAAGCATACGAACTCTGAGGTTTAGTTACATACATACATTTTTTCGTGTTCTGCCACCGTCAGTCATTGTTGTAATTGCTATGAAGTAAATGAACATCCTTCTGTATGGAATGATTGTACATGTTTTGTATGCTGTATACTAACCAAATTAATTAATGTAGAATGTAGAAGTTTCCCTTCCCCCTGGTTGAATCGCACTTACTTATCACTGGATGTGGCCCTAGAGGCCTGGATTGCAGGATCTTCTTGTGCCAAACTAAGTCTTGTTGATTTGATCTGATCTGAACTCAACTCTTCCACGTAAACCGATGCCATGTGTCTCTCTGCTAAGAGAAGCTCTTCCCAGGTAAGGCGGAGCACCTTTATCTCCTTATCAACCACTTTGTTTTCCCCACAGCTCTCTTGGACTTCTGCAGTTTCTTTCATTTCAGTATCTTGAGAAACGTTCTCGACATGGTTCTCAAAAGAGTGTACTTGTTCGGTAGTGGGTTGAATCTCTGTTTCATATTCTGCAGCGACCTGATCCGACCACTGGAGATTTCTCGCCACCTCAAACACAGTGATATCCTCTAGGGGAATCTCCCTTGAGACAATATCAGCCCAAGATTCTCCTTCCGTGATGTCCAGCCACTGGTCATGTTCAAAGGCTTCCTCTTCTACTTCCTTAGTTTCAATTCTTGTGATGTCCGCTTCTTGAATGGCTGTTACCTTTGCATGAATCTCAGGGGAGGTGATGTCTTCCCAAATGTCTTCCTTTACATTCTCATCTTCATCAGTAACCATAAGCCATTTAACATCCTCGTTAAGCTCGGCTTTAACCTCTTGCACATCGTTGCTCTCCTCCTCCAACTTGCTGTTCTTAGTTTCGTCTGCAAGATGATACAAAGCCAAATTTTACCCTAGATGTATCTATGGTTGGCTGTCGCAGTGATCCCACGGAGCCTGAGTTATTGTTACTTTGATGACCCGTCCTCTAAGTATATTTTCCTTTCGAACAGAAACGATGTTTTCGTACCTTTGAAACTTCTCATTTTCTTGATTTCTTCTGTTTCTCCACTGCAAGGGAAAAAATTGATTTTTTTTCATTCACTTCAGCTCCTTTACATTCCCCTCTCCCCTCACATATTCCCGCTCTTCCCCCCATTTCATCCTCCCGTTTCCTCCCCACCTTCTTGCAGAAGTAAAAATATAAACACTGGAACATCTAATAGTTGTTCCAGTGTTTATATTTTTACCTCTACATGGGAAAGAAGTCAATTGTTTTCCGTTCGCCTCAGTTTGTTTACACTCCCTCCTCTCAGTTTGCTCCCCACCCCTCTCCTCCCCATTTCCTTTATCCCCTTATCCTTTTCCTTCCATCTCCTTCCTTCTCCTCCCCTCCCCTCCCTTCTCCTCCACTCTCGGCCTTCGTCCCCGCCCCTCAAATAAATCTTCGAGACCCACATGAATATTATTACTGAGTGAAGTTTCACATTTCGTTTCAATCTTTCTTCAAGTGACGCAACAAGTAAATGCATTTCTTTTTTTCAAAGATTCATAAGTAGACGAACTGCGAGGAAATCTTCCTTTCTGCCACAGTGAGCGGAAATAAAGAAGAAAGGAATATCTAGTGAGAAACATAGCACTTTTCCCACTTGTGTCTTTTGATAGAGAACTAAATTTGTGTCAAGTCGGATTCTGTTTCATGTATCTTTTTGCTTGCAAAACGTTAACCATTGTAAAAGATGTGGAATTTCAAGTTAACTTTTCGAGATACTTTTCGGCGCGTGATCGGCCCGCTCAACAAGAAAAAGATGTTTTAAGCTTTTCTCCTGTCGTAACAACTTAACAATTTTCACAAGTTTTAAGCCTTACCTTTCTTCGTTATCGCAAAACCCGAAAAATGCCAAAGCCTGTAAAACTTCTATGAAGGTGCGCCAAAACGTTACCAGGGGCATTTTGAGTTCTACTCTCCTTGCGGCAAAATGGATCTCCTCTGAATAAACGTCATAATCAGATTTTTTTCTTAAGCGCGCGTTCGAACGATTGTGCGCCAGTGATGACAATAAGTCGGAAATTACGGAAAGTTTAGACTTGTGGGACTATGATTGCATACTCTAAGTCAGAAATGTTTTTTCTTGAGCGGTTTTTTTATTTAAGGTCAACAACCTGTGTTAAAAGTGACTAGCTTGACTAATACTCACTGTAATCCTTTCCAGGCTTTCCAGCTAATGCGCTGCCATGTTTTATCAGCGGTTGTTTTTGTGGAAACTAGCAGATTTAGTAAAATCCATGGTAACGGATAAAAACGAATGAAAAATGCGATTACAAGTCACCGAAAAAAGGTTTGTTTCGAAAACTGAAAGTAATGCTTTGGGGAATTCAACGGATTCTTTATTATAAACAAATAGAACACCCTTGACTGTGCTCAGTTTAAGAAGTGGAGAAACACTCGACTACGTCTTGTGTTTCTCCCCACCCTTGTTTTGTGCTCTAGCCGCTTCTTACGTGCTTCGCAACAGAATAGAGTACAGTCAAAGCTTCCTTATTTGTTAATCAATCCCTCGTATGATTACAGACCGAACTGGACTCCCCTCAGTCCTTTCATCATCATTAAATTAATCACAACCATTACAATTCTCTCATATGCGATTGATGCATTCACTGCTTTATTTTTTCACTAATTTTTCTTTAGAGTTGTGATTAAACAACGTAATCAGATGGTTGGCTCAGCGGACACCTGTAATCGGACAGTTTAAACAACCAATCATACTAAGTCCAGTCAGCAAAGTGCACCAAACACACAATTTATTTCATAACCATAGCAACAACCATTTACCCTAAAAAAACTGGGAAATTTCCAAAGTGGCCGAATTTTTGGGAGGACATGCTGATGTCCTCACTGTCATCACTTTGTAGGCGAAGACGAGGGACGGTGTTTAGGTTAAGGGTGGACGTCGAATCGTGAAAAAATTGCTGTTTGGCAGGGGTGGAGTAGGGCAAATATTAAACAATTAATATCTGTAGGAAACAGCTTTGCGAGATACAAGCTTTACACGGTATCATGAGAAGAAGTAAATAGATAATGTATGTAGCCATGAAAGGCTAATTTGTGAATGGGGAAAAATAGTACTACTTTTACAGAAATTACCCACCCGTCTCATGTTTGAAAACCCTGATAATTAGTTTGGTTGCCCCCCAAACAATTAGCTCCTTAGCAGTTCGTTTTCGTGGCGTTAGCTTTTGAGGTACAGTCCTGAGTGAGGGGTTTGTACCTGTCCTTTAAAAACATAATTAGATCATTTTCCTGTTGTCTTACACAAACATACACCACACGAGAGCGGGGTCTCCTAGAGAACCTTGGAGTAACCCTTAAGAGTAGACCTTGCATTGAGGAAACCTGAGAATATCTTGAGCAAAACGGACCTCTATTTGAGCAACGCTGGGCGTTGGTGAGAACTTTTAGATCTTAAACTATGTGTATTTCGCAGTTGAAATTAGGAACAGTTCAGAACAATACAGGCAGTTCGTATGCACTCTGTTTACTTAGCATTCAAGGGTGAATTTCCAGGATGCTTTAAGGGAAGACTCTGGTGTTCTCTCTTACTTTTGTTTCATTTAGAAGCGAGTATTAAAAAGTGTAGTTCGCACCTATGAAATTTCGAAAATGAATCGTTTGTGGCTCCCACAAATTGTATCACTTTTATACCCCTGAATTAGGTCACCTTTTTGGCGTAAGAGTTCACGTGTAGTCTCACGTGACTTTTAAGTAAACAAACCGCGTTTTACAGTGAGTCAATCCTCCACTGCCCATGTCCGAACTTCTGCTTCGGCATTTTGTCGGAAATAATTTCCCACTTTCGTGAAGCGTTACTCTGCTCAAAACTGACTTTATCACATGTTTGATTGTTATTTCGCAACCGCTAGAGTAGATGCGAAAAATCTAACAGAAGTATTCCGGCATGGAATAATCAAACTAGTTCGCTAGCTGTTACAATATTGATAATGTATTGGCTGAAAGCCCAACAGAAGTTCCCTTGCACCCAGTTAAAGAGACACATTTGTACACTGTATTTGTTCATGAATCAATTTATCTGAGTATTTATTTATCTAATATATATTTGTTTAAATCAAAATATTTCAATCAGTGTTTTTTTGGTCTACTATGTATCGACCTCAACTCTTGGAGAAAGAACTGAAGGAATGGATTGACGAGAAGAGAAAGGCTGGTATTGGAATTTCCACCACAGTTATTCGTCTGAAAGCAAAATCGATGGCAAAAGCGAGAAACATTGCCGAGAGTGAGTTTAAGGCTTCAGTACACTGGTGTCATCGCTTCATGGACCGACATGACTTGTCGATCCGCCGAAGAACAACAATTTCACAGAAACTGCCTGAGAACTTTGAGGACAAACTTGAGAAATTTCAGGCTTTCATCATTGCTGAACGAAAAAAGCACAAATATGAGCTCTCGTTGATTGGAAACGCAGACCAAACCCCGCTTACTTTTGACATGCCTTCAAATTCTACGGTGGACTCAAAAGGAACAAAATCAGTGTCGATCATGACAACTGGTCACGAGAAAGATCGTTTCACAGTGATGCTAGCCTGCCTAGGAGATGGAACGAAGCTTCCCCCCTATGTGGTGTTTAAACGAAAAACTCTGCCAAAAGATTTTGCGCTGCCACGGGGTATCCATGTTCGTGCTCAAGCCAAAGGGTGGATGGACGAATCGCTTGTAAAAGACTGGCTGAACTCCGTCTGGACCAAAGTTGGCGGGCTTCTACGAAAAAGAAATCTCCTTGTGTGGGACTCGTTTAGAGCTCACTTAAGTGACAATGTTAAGCGGGTTTTGAAAAATTCACGCACAGATGTGGCCGTAATACCGGGTGGGATGACAAGTCTTTTACAACCTTTGGACGTCGGTGTCAACAAGCCCTTCAAAGACAATTTAAGACAATAAAGGAACGAGTGGATGCTTGCTGGAAACCACACATTCACACCAGCAGGCCGCATTCGAAAACCTGACCTCCGCCAGATTTGCCAGTGGATTCTAGACAGCTGGAATGCCATTTCCACAGACACCATCAAACGATCATTTCTCAAATGCTGCATCACGAACGCACTTGATGGCACTGAAGACGACATTCTCTGGGAAGATATGGATGAAAGTGATCCGTTTGCCGACAATGATGGAGCGGAGTCAATTGTAGACGAAGAAGGTGAACTTTTCTATGCTGGTGAAGAGGAAGTTTCCATCCTGGATGTGAACGAACAAGGATACCGTGACATTTTTGGTGAAAGTGACATTGATGAAGGTGATTTCAATGGATTTTAATTTTGATCGGACAACAATGAAACTTTGTTGTGTAGCTTTTATCGATTGAAAAGTTCATCACGGAATGTATATTAGTTTCATGTAAATATTTTAATAGTTCTTAACAGATTACAACTTGTTTATGATTTTGGCGAACGTGTTTACAAGGGTTATGCTTCACTTTACTCGTGTTTGTACATATAAGGACAGAAACTTGTTCGAAAAAATTATCTTTAATTAAGATTATTTTGTATATAAAATGTTAGCGAATAGACGTTTCAGTTTCTAGTTTGAACATTTTCACGTTCGTGTAGGAATTATTGCAAAAATAAACTTGACTTGATACACATCAGCTGTTGTTGATTTGAAACTTTGCTTTATTTATCCCGGTACTCGACCTCAACAATTTTTTTTCCCATGAAAACCATTGAAAGTTTGGGGTGCGGCCAATACGCGGGTGCGGCCTATCTGCGGGTAAATACGGTAAAATTAATTTTATTTATATAATAAACTGAATCAGTCAAGTGTTATATGGTTATATTGGACTGATACCTGCTCCAGTGTATCAGTTACCAAGCTGAAGAAAACCAATAAAAGCAATATAGGTTTTGGTTTATACCAACCTTGCACTAAACGAGTTTGAGGTCCATACTTATGTTACAGACCAAATTTTTTTTCACTTAGGCCATAAATCCTAGTGAAAGAAACTTGGTCCATATTAACTTACATCACAGACTTTGAACTCAGTTAGTAAGATAATTATTATATCTCTGGGTTCAAATAAAAGAAAAGGATTCCAATTCAAACAAACTTTTAAATTTAGCAGTCACATAGCAAAATACGCTACACTTAATTGACCAATCATAGCAAAATACATGCACTATCTGAGATGTACATTAATGGAAAGTATGTTACCATGCTTAGAAATTCCACTACACCAAAAGTATGCACAAACTGCCACTGTTACTCTAGTATACCCTGCATGAAGAAAAAAACTAAGACCAATGCACTGATCAAACAACACACCTAAAGCTACATTACAATACCTGTTGGTAACCTTTAATGGCATTTGGAGGTTCATACGTTTTAACTACAAGGCTGTCTGAACATTGCAAAGGTTAGAAATAAAGAAGGCGAGACTAATCTATGTCATACACCAGTACCAAACTGTGTCATGATATTACAGGGGTTGTTTGTTTGCTTGTTTGTTTAGTTTAAATTGTTTTGTTTGGGATGAGGTAGCATTTGAAGAGTGGTTTGCTAGTGTCAACTAGACAAATGCAAAGGGATACAATAAACAAAGGTTGAACAAAGAGAGCTAAGGCTGGGAAAAATTAAAATGGCCAGCCATTAACAAACTTGAAATTTGGCTTTGTGCATCATCTACCCTCCAGTGCCCACTATCAATAGGCCCCTGTAACTGTTGGGTGTGTGTCACTTTGTGCAAGGTGTGCTGATTTGCATACCAGCAAACTATTCACAAAGATAAAAGAGCATGATTCAGGACTGCTTCTGCTACCTACTTCCACCAACTAGGTAAATATTTGTAGATGAACAAACCATAACATACCTGGAAAAACTTACCATCTCTCTTACTCTGTTAGTATACAGAATTTCATGGTGAATTCACCTCTGAACTACTCAAGTTTTCAGCCGAAAATCTTATGATAATGGAAATGAGCACAACAAACAAAGCTAACAACTTCAAACACACAGCAGCCGTGTTAGTTCCCTGCTGCTCCTTCTTTTGTAAAATGCGTGTCTTTGTTGCGTAAATCACATTTCCAGGAGCATCTTCAATAGCTTTCTTGGCTCCTTTCCATGCACCAGGGCCCATTAGACGATACTGAACTGGTGTACAGGGTCCAAAAAAGCAACTCAGGGCTAGCGTAGGATTGCTGAAAAAGAGCTTTATCAGGTTTGGTCTGCAACCAACCTGATTTGCCAATTCATCTGCATAGGAAATGTAATCAACCTGTGAAAGTGAAGGAAGGTTTTTCAGATTAAAAGCTAGCTACAATGCACTCTTGAATAATGATTTAGTGAGATGCATGCATAGTTAACTACTTTGGAGTTGGTATCCAAAATAATTTTTTTTTAATTACTTCATTTTTTGAAACAAACATCCGATATGCTTTAGAGGTCTGAAAGAACCTTTCAGTCAAAATTCTGTAAAAATTTCTGAATGTCAGGCATTTAGCCCAGTTAAGACCGTGCCCAGATCCTGCTGCATTTAGACACTGCCTTAATGAAACATACCTGGCTTTTTGATTGGAAAGATTGCCCCCTTCACAAGGTTTGGTTTCCTATCTAATGTACCATTAGGATTTCTAAATTTCCTGTACATTTTGAGTGCTTGGTTTTATCATTTTACAGCTACAATCAGTGTGGGCTACCAGAATTACCCCATATTCTGAGACTCAAACATTAGTTGGCTATAGATCCAGCATTTCCACTGGAAAACCTACAAAACAAGGCTGCAGTACAAACACAACCTAGAGCCCTCATTCAAAAATTTTGTTAGGGAATGATCATCTACCAAACAGAGTGTGCAATTCTCTGTAATCACATGAAAAATTATACTTCACTGATATGCCATAATGTATTGGAGCTTGGTTATTTTACCTGAATTGTGTGGCGTTTAGAAGCGTAATATCTTCTTTGCATGGCCTCTCTTTTCATTTCAACATCTTTCATCATGAAATCCTTAGGAGGAAGGGGTGTTTTCCCATTAAACACTCGGGTTACCCACCGTCCCTGAAGCTCTGACAGAGGAAAAATGGCACCAAGAGGCTGTACACAGCCAATAACAGCAAGTGTTGGTTTGGCAAGGTTCGGGGGGAACACATATTTGTATAGCTCAACTTTGTTGTCATTCACAGGAAGAATTGATTGATCTATGAACCTGAATCCTATCTTGTACCCAGTGCAGAAGATCACAGCATCTAAGTCATTTACTTGAGTATCATCATCAAAGATAACTCCAGATTTGGTAAAGCTCCTGACATTAGGTTTGATGACAACACTTCCAACTATTATGCGGTGTGGCAGAGCATCATTGACCATTGGGTGTTGACCAGTGATTGGATGTTGAGGCTGCAGTGCAAATACTTTGTGATCAAATCTCTCATTCACTATTTTTTTAAAAAGACTTCTTCGAAGTGAGATGGGTACAAGAGACCCGACACGCCTGATGAACTGCTGGTCCATAGGCTCACCTCCCTTTCCCATGCGGGACAGGACCCAAGCCCCTCTGCGAGTACTGAGAAAGAAAGACTTGTGGAGTGTGACGACTGAGTTCCACAGCAATATCACCACCAGAGTTCCCTATACCTAAAAATACATAGGTCATTGCAAAACAAAATGCTGCTTTAATCTCCTTAGCAATATTAAGTATGACTTTTGTGTGGATAAAGATGCCTGGAAGCTTAAGTGTATGCACAAGGTACCAGTAACCATGAAAACCCTTGAAAGACCACCAACAAGCAAACTGAGTTTTAAGCATGACATATAGACCTGATCACAGCCCATCTAACCACAGAGGTTGTTAAAGGGGGGATGGAAGCCATCCTGGAGCAAGTGAACTTAAAACAGTGGTAGAGATGCAGATCACTTTGCAGGGGTTATTGGCTATCCATTTTATGCAATAATAAGTTAAGACTGATGGGGATCATTGCCTTTCTTATCTGTTTATCATCTGCCAGACAAAGAGTATGCAAAAGGAAAAGGTAGAGGAATTGTGAGGGTTTAAGCAATGTACCCAATTTCCCTTCTGATTTTTACTAGTTTCAAGATCATTTAAAACACCTTTTATAAGCAATTGGCTCCATAACAATTAAATATCTTTGACAAATAATTCAAGGATTCAATTTTCATTTTTAATTTATTCTAGTCATTTTGGATTTGGTTTTGTTTTGTTTCTTTGCTTTTTGTTTCCTGCTTTTTGTTTTGTCTGTTTGTTTGTTTTTTTTTTATTGAGGGGGTGAGTAGTGAATAATGCTTTTAAGGTTGGAAGTGGGGGGAGGGGGAAGGGGAAGTGGGGGGAGGGGAAGGGAAAGGGGAAGTGGGGGGGGAAGTGGGGAGGGGAAGTGGGGGGAGGGGGAAGGGAAAGGGAAGTGGGGAAGGGGAAGGGGGAAAGGGGAAAGGGGAAAGGGGAAAGGGGAAAGGTGGATGGCAAAAATATTTTTCTTGAAGAATTTAGCTTTGAATTAAAGGAAAGAAAATATCAAGAGCAAAATACCTACCAACCACTAGGACTTTCTTGTTTTCAAATGGTTTAAAGTCCTTGTATGAATGGCTGTGGATCTTGAGCCCTGAAAATTCGTCCATACCGGGAAAGGAAGGCCACGAGGGCTCTGAGTGATGACCTACACAAAGCATCACAGCATCGTATACTTCTTTATTCACCGCGTCGGGATTCTTGCCGTCAAGTTCTTGAAATAGGATTTCCCATTTCCCGCTCTCTTCGAAATCTGGTGCTTTCTTAAGGTCAACCACCTTGGTGCGGAACCGAATGCATTTGTACAAATCGAATTCTTTCGCGTACAGATGGAGGTATTTCATGATCAATTGGTGGTGCATGAACGGAGGATATTCTTTAGGGATCGGGAAATCCGAAAAGCACATCATTTCTTTGCTGGTGTTGATTACAGTCGACCTGTACACGGAACTATGTCTCTCCTCTTCGGTAAAATACCAAAGTCCTCCAATGGCGTCCTCCTGCTCGAAACAAACCGGCTCTAAACCCTCGTCTTTGCAGCATTTTATGCTGGTAAGACCACTAGCTCCAGCCCCTATTATTGCAACCCTCATTTTTTTAAAAAAACAAATGACATAAATAGGGTTTAACGATCACGAGAAAAGTTCATCATTTACTCTTGCCAAATATCTGCAGCCGATGATTATGCAACTAAAGTCAGGTGATTCACCCCCACTCAACTTTTTCCTTTGTTGCGTGACAAGATGGCGGATTGTGACACGGGATCTTTCGTTCTCGGAATAGACATTGGAACAACCTCGATAAAAGTGTCGTTAGTGCGAAATGGTACTAAAGATGTCATTGAAAGTTTTAGACTTGATACAGAGGCGAATAATCACGATAAGGAATCTAGCTTTGCAGAGCTGGATGTTGCGAAAATATTTGCTTGTTTACAGCATGTACTTTCCCAATTCTCTCTACATTTCCTGGCCAAAGTGGCTCGTATTGGAATTTGTGGACAGATGCATGGATGTGTGATGTGGAACGGTGAATCATGCAGTGTATCAAGTGAAGGTCACCATTTTATACGGAGCGATGATGTCTCCCATCTTATTACTTGGGAGGACGGGAGATGTAACAATGACTTTTTAAGCACCCTTCCGCCTACACGTTCACATATTCCTATTTCTACTGGTTTTGGATGTGCAAGCATTTTTTGGCTTCAGAGAAATGATCCTAGCTTCTTGGAACGTTTCGATTGTGCTGGAACCATCATGGATTACTTTATTTGTGTTTTTTGTGAAATGAGAAAGCCTTGCATGTCTTCACATAATGCTGTCAGTTGGGGATATTTTGATGTGAGTAATATGGCGTGGGAATTAGACATGTAAGTTAGTTAATTCCACATGCTTATCAAGTTTTTTCTTGATATTATATCATTAAGTCAGGTTTAAAACACCTCTTTCTAATGCAAGTGACTGCGAGAAATGTTTAGCTTATCCGATTGCCAATGGCTAAATGTCCGGTAGCTGGGCACGAACCTGCAGTCTGGAATGTTCACATAATTTCCACTGAAAATTTATTTCAAACTTCTTAAGAGTACCAGATCTCTGACAAGAAATGTCAAGAAATTCCAGAAATAATTTGTGTTTTGTGTGCGTGTGTGTATTTTATGTTTTTCTTCCCAACCTTATGCTTAATAGTAGAATCGCTCGGTTGTCGACACTAAAAGAAATTCTACACTTCTCAACAGACCGCCGGACACGGTCTCAAATGGACTTGTTATGCCCGGCAGACAGAAATTTTTATTAAAGTTCCGAACGAAACTCCATATAAAACTGTTGAGTATATATGTTTTTTTTTTCAGAATTTCAACAGTTACTGAATTCTATTTTGGGTTTATTTGGTGGACAAGCCCGTGAACGCTGCAAAATCGTTCAGTCCCAAATTAAATAGACCAGCACTCGGAAATTTTCACAGATTTTCCACTAAAAGGCATCAAATGTTTTTTCTTTTAGTATGTCGTAACATACTTTTCAAAAATTCAGTCAAGGTATTCTAATATCGAAAAATCACGACTGCCAGAAAGTAATTTTTTGGAATTGCGTGACGTTTCTGCATTTCTAAACAAACATCTAATGCTCTTGAGAAGTTTGGAAGAACGTGTCAGTGGTAATTCCGTGAAAATTTCTGACTACTGGACATTTTTTCATTTTAGAGCGTTGCTTGATAGCCTGATCAGAAGGGTGGAATTTCTTAATGTTGACAACTGAGCAATGGCACAAACTCGGAAAATTTGCCAACTAAATGCACAAAAAATAGTTTTTTAGAATGGCGTGACATTTTTGATACTCTAAAATAAGTTGGAAACAACCTTTCAGTGAATTTTCTTTGAAAATTTCAGACTGCCGGGCATTTAGAACGTACCTGGCCACCAGGCATTTAGCCATTGCTTATCTGATTTTGCACAAGAAGTCAACACTGTTGTTCAGATAGTGGGAACAATGGTGTCAGAGTTCCCACATTCAAGATTAATGTTAAAAATGGGAAATTGGACTCTTTATGATTCTTATTGTAGGGGTAGACCACAATTAAATTATTATTTTTGCTCTTTATGCAGTCTGAAAGAGGCAAACTTCCCCACTCAACTCCTGCCAGTGGTGGTAGAACCAGGTACAATGGTTGGTAAGCTGCAAAGATCTTTGTATGGAATCCCAGTTGGTACACCTGTGGGGGTGGGTCTGGGTGACTTCCAGTGCTCAGTACTTGCAAGCAGATCTCAGGAAAGTGATGCAGGTAACACTTAGAAGTTCTTTTCATGCATGCTGCATCACTTAAGCATTTTACTCCCAGAAGTTATTGACATGTAATTTCTCCCTACAATATCTATACATTATCCTGCAAACTATTAATGAGAATACTGAAACTTATTTGGTTGAAGCTTTAATCTTTATCAGATGCAAAATTCTTGAAACTAATTTAGAAGAAATGCACAGAAGGTAGAGGGGAGAATTAACAATCAGATCTGAAGGGTTAAGAGTGAACAGTTTTTGTGTCAAAACCATGATCTCTTTAGCACCAAGGTACGAGGACAGGGGTTAGTCCCAAGAACACCTCAGGAAATTAAGTGATAACTGAGATAAAGGCTCAAATCAAGGTCATTAATGGTCAAAATATAGGACTCATGGGACAAGAAGGATGAAGGGCCATTCCCTGAGAAGTGTGAAGGAAGATGACTGTATAAAAAATTGAGAATTGTTACCCCTTATTATTCAAAACTTTCACAGTTCAAACAAAATATAACTTAACTAGTACTCAAATTTCAGTTGTCAAATATTTTTTAATTTTCAGTTCTTAACATTGGAACATCCTGCCAACTGGCTGTGGTTGTTCCTGCTAATACCAGCACTGTGGCTGCAGGGGAATCTTCATATCAAAGTTCAGAGATGCCTAGTAAAGCAATTACAATTCTTCCATTCTTTCATGGACAGAAAGTTATGACAGCTGCATCACTTTCAGGTATGGTCAGATTTTCTTGATTTATGTTTGTACTGTTGTTCAAAGAGTGTATAAAACCTTTCTTTTCACTCATGGACAGCCTCTTGTACCATATGTGTATTGGTGCTAACATTAAATCTTTAATCCACCACTGTTTACTTCTATCTATCTCCAAATATATTTCTTTGGGTCGCAATGATGTTATCAAAAATTACATCCAATTGGGGTTCTTGGAAAATTCTTAAGGTCACATACTGCTATGTTATCAAACCAAGAAATCTAGGAGGTCTAACTGTCAGCTTTTGTTTCCTTTGTCGTTACAGGAGGTAACGTTTTGGCCACCTTTGTGAAGATGTTGACATCATGGATGAAAGATCTTGGACTGGAAGAGAGTCTCCCTTCTAAAGATAATATTTATTCTAGAATACTGGCCTGTGCTGATGAGAGAGCTTCAACGTCACTTCAAGTAGTTCCCACTTTATGGGGTGAAAGGCACACTTCTTATCAAAGAGGACAAGTGAACAACCTAACATCAGGAAATATCTCACTTGGTGATGTTGGTTTGGCTCTTTTTAAAGGAGTTATTGAAAACATAAAAGAAATGATGACACAAGATTTCCTCCATTTGCATGATGTGCGACAAATAGTTGGTGCTGGAAGCGCTTTGAAGAGAAATAGAGTGTTACAGAAACAAGTTGAACAGGTTTTTGAATTGCCACTGGTTTTGAATGAAAATACAGATGCATCAGTAGGTGCAGCAATAGCCACTCTCTTGGAGAGAAATTGAATGTGACTTTACAAGTCTGAATTGTATCAAAATATTAATTAAGAAATCAAAAAATTAAACTTCTTCACACTTCTTACAAGTGTTATCTATCTTGTTCAGAGATAAGTAATTGTCTGTAAGCCTCATAAATAATAACTGTGCCAGCCATTGCTGCACTTAAACAGTCAATTGTGTTTGCCATGGGAACACGAACAAGTTGTCCATGATATTGACAAGCTAAGTCTTTGATAATTTCCCCCAGACCTGTAGTCTCACCACCAATAACCAGAACACTGGGTCCTTGAGTCCAGTCCACTTGGAAATGTTCTGATGCTGGAATGCTTAGGTCATCTAAAGGAAGTGAAAATAAATGGAACATTGGGAAATGATTCAGCTTGAACAGGCCTACTTAAAGTCATCTAACATTCCTGATCAACATTTAAACCCAAAATATAAGATAGACTGAGGTTTGACATTTTGCATGTGCAGAAAGCGATCCCCTACCTAGCTCCAGTCCGCCCAGTTATCTCTATGAGTTTGACCTTTGGGCAGATCATGCAAATAAAAAGGTGTTAGCCCAAGTTGACAAGTCATCACAGATATGTTCTGAATGTCAAATCATCAGATAAATGGCCCTTTCATCGAGTGTCTCTTATTTCCTATGCTATTTGTATTTCCTCAGTCATTTCCAATCTTGTGATTAGTTGTTCCGTTCTTAATGTATTATATGTTTGTCACACTTGAAGAAGAGACCACTGGCAATGATGCATAATTTGAAGAGTTCGATCTGGTCATTAAGAATTGAACTTGTTCTAAATTTGTTGCTGATGCATTGGTTACAGTGTGGAAATGACGTGGATATTGTTAGAAAAGACTTACTAGTTCAATATATTTTTGTGGACACAAACTTAATTATTTCTAAATTATAGTTTAAGAGATTGACAAACACTTTCTAAATCAAAGACCAGAGAAAATACATCCTACCAGCCAGAATTCCTAACTGGAACAGAAGTTATTTATTAAGTAGATTCTTAAGTATGTTTGTGACGATAAATTTTGTGTCAGATGAGACACAGGATAAAAGCAACAAAACTCAACATTTGATAAAAATTAATTGAATTAAATTTCCCTACCAGAAATATTATTGTCTGCAAGAAAAATCCTTTTATCTGCAATGAATGTCTCAATCTCTTCCCAATCCACATTGTAATGAATGGGAAGATAAAAATGACCTCCAGCAGCACATCGCAACACCTTTGGGTCCCACACATCAACACAACAAGTTGAAGTAATGAAGGACTGGCAACCTGCTGCTGCTGACGTCCGCACCAATGTACCTACACAATCACAATATGTTATGTTGCATTAATACTATTTTGGTAGTTACTGTAACATGAATAGTGGGTGAAAGGAAGGTCTTCTAATTTTGTTCTTTTGATTACTTTCCTCTGCAGTTACCTGCTGCTATTTTCTGTTTCTTAATTACAAAGACCCCTACTTTCTTGAGTATGACATTTCCAATCTGTCATGCACATGTCCCATTTTCAGTTGACATCTTACACTTGATTTCAAATCAACATCTCTTCCCACTCAAAAGCCATTTCTTTGCCGTAAAATAACTATATGCCATACCTAAGTTTGTTGGGTCTTTCAGTCCATCACATAACACTGTCAATGGATTTTGCACAGTGTTTCCGTTCTTCAGTTCCCCCCCTTCACCCTGCCTTGGACGCTTGAACATTCCGACTATACCAGGCGGTGTGACAGCATTTGATAAACTCTCCATTGTTTCTTCGCTTATTTGAGCAAGACAGTTTGATGGTAGACTCAAAGTGTCGATGTGATCAAGCAGTGCTGGATCGGTGTAAAATATATTCAACACCTTAGCTTTGGCCAGCAAAGCTTCTCGTACGAGTCTCCATCCCTCTACCACGATACGGTTATGTTTCTCCCTGTGTTTCCTTTTGTTAAGAGATGCTGCCATTCTAAAAATTTTACGAAATGGTTTTTCAATTGAACGGAATAAAATTCAATAAAATCAAGTAACATATTGAGGGAAACTGTACCCACAGCTCACCTGAGTCGCGGCGTGCCACTTTCAAGAGCTTTGATGGTATGTTTTCCTCGAATTATCGACGGAGCGGTCTGAGTTACTGCGGGGAGAAATTTAGCTGCAATTCTAGTTTGTTTTACTACACTAGGCCTTTGAAAAAGTAGGTGCATCGTAAGAAAAGCTTGAAACACTCTTACAAATAAACATTGATCGAACAGAAGCAAAACCTCGTCAGGCGTTCCTTCCTCGTTACTTTGGGTACACTGGGAACTAGTTAAAATGCCCCAATAGCAGGAAGCAAGTCAGCGGTATCTATCATAAAAACAATATGGCGGAAGAAGCGAGCTAAAATTTGAGAACGCGGAACATGATGGTTTGTACCTTGTAATCGAAGTGACAATTGCTTAAGGATGAAGCTTTTTAAGTTATGGGTCCATCAGCAAAACTTCAGCGAGGATGATCTCATACTAAATCCAAAGGAATTTCCGAATGAAAAAGAAGGAGACATCTTGGAGATCTATCATCCAGATGAAGATAACACTCGTCTTTTGCTGCAGATTAAATCGATTAACCCCGAATTCCAACAGAAAGATACAATCAGCATCGAACAGTCTGTGGCTAATTTCTTCCAGTTGCGAACTTACTGGGATGTGGAGGTCACCAAAGTCGAACCAAAAGATGTGTTTGTGGATATGGTGGAACTTTTGTTTAAAGACCAGTTCGTCACGAGGAGCGAAATGTGGAGATTTTCCAAACAGCTTGTTGGCTCGTGTGTATATATCACCAAGAAGTTGTCACACTTTGGGGTGCGAGCTCAGGTTATGGAGATCTGGACCAAGGGAGAGAAGGTGTCTTGTGGAGTGATATCTAATGATACCAGGGTAAGCAGAAGGGTAGGAGGAGATGGGGCTGGGTGGGTGGAGGAGCAGAAAAAGGGTGGAGAGGATTAAAGAAGGCATGAGGCCATCCCCATGCCCTAATTTGAGAAGGGAAGTTTTCTTAGGGAGGAACATTGGCCCACGTGCTCCAAATTTGGCTGGTTATCGATCTTAGTTGGGGTGGAAACATGAGACAAATTTACTCTAAAGCTGGATTAAATGGGGGCCTATATAAACGATAGCAAGGCTAGGACAAAACACAGAGAGCTATGTTCCCCACTCTTTCTGAGAAGTGAATGGATTCTCTTATGCCCCCATGCAAACCAGTTCGGAGAAGATACAGGAGATAGTGCCTATGCTTTATCATCCTTATTGGAGAAGACTAGAATGTCTTAAACCATTTGTGGATGTCATTGTAAAGGCAGCAAATTCTCTTTAGTTATTATTAAACTCAGAGTGTTGGTCTGGTCTGGGGCTTGAACCTTTGCCCTCCTGCACAGCAGTCTGGTTTAAGGGTAACAGTAAGAATGGCAGTCCTCTTTAAGGGTTTTTAAAATTTTTTGTATTTGTTTTTGTGCATTGCTATTCAACTCTCCCCTGTTTACTTTAAACACTGATCATCCCTACTGGACAACAGTCATTATTTGTCTTTCCTATTTCAGGTGATTTTTAGATCAAGTAGCACAAAGATGTATTTATTCATTCAAATGAGTAAAGAAATGTGGGACTTTGACTTCAATGGAGACCTTTATATTGAAAAGGCAATCAATGGATTTTTTTATGAATTGTTTACCAAATGGAAGGAGCTGAAAGCCCACCATGATGTCAGTATTATTCTTTTTTCAAGAACATTTTACAATGCACAGTCTCTTGGTAGGTGATGTTTCTATTGCACTGTATCTCTTTTCATTAAGGGAACTTCATTTTAGAGGTGGCTCAGTCTAGTAAACAGAAAAAGATTTGATCATTGAATTAATATTATCAGATCCTTTACCCTAAGTAGGGAATAACTTGGGATCCTGATGCTTTTTGACTAAGTTAGTATTTGTTACCTTCCTATACAGAGGACATTGCCATTGCTTCTTAGGATATTTGATTCCTACTATGTAGGAAGGAAGGTCTTAAAAATAAAGAGAGATTGGGAAGGAAACCTTCCATAGGACAGTAGTCATACAGTAATCTTTTAGTCAATATGCCACAAATGAACAGTTCCAATAACTCACTTAGAAAGGACTTAGAAAATGAGTGGGTGACTAAATGACCAGGGTACTTAGCTTTCATTTTTTAGTTCGAGGAACCGCAATGTTTCTGACCTGAATTTTACAGTTTATAAAAAAAATGAAAGTTGCATAATAACAGTCAGTATGTGCACCGGCTAAACTGCAGAATACCCGGCCACTTTGGTCCGCCTCACTTACATGTGTTGGGAGGCTTTGAAGATCGAGGCATAACACAATAGACGCTATTCTTATTCAATGACATGTAAATGAGTGGCTGGGTATTCTGCAGTTGCTCCCGTGCGCCAACACTACCCAGCTGACATGCAAACATCCCCTTTTTTGCATTCTGGCCACTCAAAAAGTGGGGTAAGAGCAAAGCAAAGAGATGGAGAGTTCCCTCCACTACCCACCCCCCCCCCCCCAGGAGACAAAAATACCTCTTCAAAAATATCAATGTCTAGATTAACAGACAAATATTCTTTTGATTTACAATTGCAGAGGAATTTCCCTTAGAAGCTCAAGGATGTATTCGAAAGGATCCTTACGGACGGTTTTATGAAGATTTCTACCAAGTTGTTGCCTTATCAGACAGCTGTGATGATTGGATCCCTATGCTGGTCACTCTGAAGCACTGCTTTAACCAATATCCAAAATTCTCAAACTGTTGTGATAAGCTTAAAGGCACCAAAATCAAGGGGCAAAATTCCAGCTCCTACGAGGGAAACTTTCTAGAAGCTATCAACTTGGCGATGAATGGTAAGTGATAATGGAAACGGTAGAGACATGTCCGAGGGTACCTGTTACATTTCTCTTGAGCTGTACTTTGTGCTTTCGCATGCGTTTCCCATCTGGCTTGATGACTCTGTTTTGCCATGTGATATCTTAAATTTCCTAAAACATAAAAGACATATATCAGTACTTATGAAAGTTCCCCTTACAACACGGTCTGGGTGGCAAAAAGGCTCAATTTCTGTGTCTGCGTCCGCTTGATAGCAGTGTCCATTGAATGAAGATTCGTTCTTAGGGCTCTGACGAAGGGCTGACGCTCGGATAGTGAGCTTTAGAAACTCTTTACGGTGGCCAATGTACACTATCGGCTCAGTTGATTAAACCAAATTATCTTGTTATACCCGTCATCGACACAGCACTACAGTTTCTTTTTAAGTTTACTCCCTTTATTCATTCGTTCTTGAGCCGTTAGAGTTGTGTGAGTAAATTGTGAAGGTAATGACGTGATGGGAAAAAAAATTGAGAGATCGAGGTTTAGGTTGGAGTTAACGACAGCCGCAAGACGCATTTCGATCGAGTGTCTCGCATACAAAACCAAAGTAATGAAAACTGCGAATCAGAACAGCTGAAGGAAAATAATAATGATCAGGAGCCGAAGAGAACTCAAAGTAAGAGCAAGAAAACTTTCTGAAGCGCGGGAAAATGTGAATGACGAGCAGTGACTGGTGTCCGTTTTCCATCTTATTGGTCGAGAGACCGGTGCAAGTTTTTTAGATCATTAGATCAATCACAGAGAAAAGTAGAGTGAACTCAATGCAAGCCTTGATTACTTTCTGTTTCAATACCTGGCTGGTAATTTCTCATTTTATTTTCACTATTTTTCGTTTCAGCTTTTGAGAGGCATCATATCGATCGCAACTTTGGTCGTACTGGTCAGACGGTTATCATTGTAGCACCTGGGTCCGGAGTGTTTGAGGTGGATAGAGAAGTGACCAGCATAACTAAACAGCGTCTTCTGGATAGTGGTATGATAAAGTACACTTCCATCGTAACAATCTCTCTTTCATAGGATCTGTTAATGGAGCTCTTTCAAAATTCTAAAAAGTCACGTTGAATGGCCAGGAAACTATGAAATAGTACTTTGTTAAAGTAGGATAAGACGGCAGAGGCAAAAAAAAACTAAAGAATTATGAGTATAGTTTTAGATGGAAGTGATTAACCCAAATTGCGAATGATGAAATTGAAATTTAGAGACCAAGTTTTTCAAAATACACAGGTCCTGACGGAGCTCCTTCAAGCACTTGTCACAATAGTTTATGTCTTTTTTGCAACTTAAAAAATTGACAGTAGATTGGAGTTAGCTTCAACGTGATGGTTTGGTTAAGATAGAGTGCATTAAGTCAAGTTTACTTGCACTGATCTAACCAAGGCCTTTTGGTAATATAGATCATTCATGAGATCCTTCCTAATTGTGCATTTCGTCTCACACTGGATCATTTTATGGCTCTTCCCCCTGAAGATGCCGTCCGATCTATATATTTTTATTTCAATCAAGGCTGAAGACAGACTTCTAAGCAAGTTGACAAACTGCTTTGCATTTCCTATTTTCATTTTCTTTTAATATTTTGTAATTTTAATACCAATATTTGTTGTTTTTTGTCAACTCTTTTGAAATATCTGCCCACTATGTTGATTCAAATTCCTCATCATCTCGTTATCATTCTCGTTATTATTTTAACGATCATAAATTTACTTTCTATTTATAAAAGATAATCAGTAAAAGTTGGTAGGATTAAAGGATATTAATCTGGTTGTGACTCCCATTTAGATATTCCGTCTGTTGTCTAATTAATTCAAGGTATTACGTTGTACTTGAACGCAAGATAGCAATTTTAAGTCGAGTGTTCAAAGACTAAAACGAAATTAGTCCTAGCGACCAAACAGAACAAAGGTTTACATTATCATCGGCCAATGAGAACTCAAAGTTAAAAACAAGCAAACTGCTCGAAGCGCGGGAAATGACGAAGTTGTGCCGGATTGTTTTTACTTTTGCATCTGATTGGTTGAGAGGATGGCGCGGGGTTTCTGGATCAATCACAGAGCAAAGTTAAGTAAAACCAAAGTAATTCCGGATTATACTCTCGAAACTCAATTGAAAATTGCTCTTATCGAGTCAAAGAATTTGTAGTTGTTCAGGGGTCACTTACTGTACATAACGTTATGTCACTAGGTGTGTCGATCGACCTTGTGTGTCTTGCTGAACAGCCGCTTCACACTGTACCTCTTTTCAAGTTCTTTAACAAGACACTTGGCCTCAGAGACAACGACATTGGAGATGATTATAACATTCCTCACTGGATGAATCACAATTTCTACACTTCACCAAAGACAAGGAATAAGCCAGGGAACGTTGCACCTCGTATAAAAATACCTGAAGCTATTTTGAATTCACTTGGAAAAAACGGTGAACACGAAGAAGGTTAGTTCCCATTACTGCTGTTTGCTGCTAGTAAAATTTTCGCGTAGCACTGAGATACAGACTGTTTGTTCAGTGAATATTTGCAAAAATAATAATCTTCTCCACTGCGTAAACCGAGGACTGTGCTCAACAAGTTGAGTTATTGCCATATGGTAAAGTTTGCGTCTTTGAAATTACACTCAAATTTCTGCCGGAGCACGGTTTTTTTTGGTGTTTGTTTAAGTTCTTATGAATATCCTCATAAAAGGTAGTAGTTGTTCATCATCGTCATCATTGTATGGAGCGGAGTATATTGGTATATATCACACGAGTGACTAGTGCTTTTTGTGCGCGCTGATTGGCTTGTTCGGAAGTGAAAGTGAGTAATATTCTCCTCCAGGTAGATGAAGAGACAAAATCGCGTGTGGAGAGTTCAGCTTCCGACCATTTTTCGGTATATCGACAAAAGTGAAACACTTTTTTTTGTTTCTTGGTGTTACATACTAAAACACTAACTCACCTCAGCGTCAGTGAAAGTGGTGGATATTTACTCCTACTTCGGTAAATAATTGTGAACTACCTTATTAGTTGATGCGTAAGTAGACACCTGATAGAGCGAACAATCGGAACAGTACGACCCATTTCCGAACGAAAGGGTTAACGCTCGGAAAGTCAGCTTTGAAACTCTTTATGGTGGCTAATTTATATTACCAACTCCCGAGTTGATGAAACCAAATTATTTTGTTATCCTACGCCACCTACGCAGGACCAGAAACCTACTTCCTTCAGTCATTTCAGAATTGGTTACATTGCGACAGAAACGATGATTTTTGTTCTTGTATTTTTGTTCTCTCACCTAAGCGTACAGCAATTTTGCTAAACACTGCAAGACAGAAGTGGGAGACAGCCAGCTCGCAGATCGGGTGGATTATGACGAATATGACGCCAAAGTATTCAGGAATCCGCTTACTCACTCCACTCTGAAGGGCTGGGCACCCGGAGGCACGACCTTCAGACGAATACGAAGTGCTCTTGACATGCAGCGAGTGGCTAAGTCAAAAGAAGAACCTATTTTCCGCCGTGTTTCCTCGCCTCCCAGAGGGGTTTCGTCTTACGAGGACATGGAGATTTCAGCTTCTTTTAGTACCTTTACGGTAATTCATTCAAGCTTTTACTGTATTTAGGATCTTGCCTGGTTAAAGTTTTCAATATATGGAATTACTCTGTGTGGAAAAGTTTGGAAAAAGAATGGAAAAATGTTTACGAACGTTCCGACATTCTCTGTCAATCGTCGTCAAGGATGAAAAATTTTCCCGGCATGCACTTTTCGCCATCTCACGGAGAAAATAACTCAATTTTAATCACTTCTCGATTTTACAGGCTGGTTAAGGAAATTTCATACCATGTTTTCCGTTCTGATAAAGAAAGACTGACCGAGAATATCGGAAAACAACTTTTTATTCAGTTATTTCTTGATTTGTTTGTGCGTTCGTTATTGCTATTCTTTCTCTATTCCAAGAAGCTAGCCGCCTTTAAAGGACATTAATGTGTTTTAACTTTTCTTTCAAGGAACGAGATGCTCCATCCTTAAAGACCCTGGACAGCAGAGGAACCCTTATACTGTCTTCATCAATGGAGTATACATCTCATGGTGTCCTCGGTATGTTATCTCACGTCACTGTTTCTGGCTTCCATGTGGGAGGCAGAGTAGCTCAATGGGAATAATCTGGGCTTATAATAGTAATAATAATGATAATTATGATAATGATAGTAATAATGATAATAATAATGGATTTGGCAGTAGGTATTTTCCAAGGTGGCTCTTCTTGTCCACTGTGACCAGACGCGGTAATTTTCAGAAGTCGTGCGAGCGATTACTTAAGTGACCGAACGCTGTGCTAGACATATGGATTGTTATCTGAGCGCGCATGGCTAAAGTTCAAATGTTAGTCAGTTTAACTGATATCTTAAAAAAAAATAAGTCCTTTATCGTGATGAGTTATCTCCGAGGGCACTTAAAGTGAGTATTTAACTACCAGGCGATCGTGATAGAGGTAATTTAACCCACTAGCCTTGATTTTGTACGTATTTCCGGCACTCTCCAGGAGTTATCCTGCAGTCTAAACCTTTTTTAAGTTTTCCCAACTAAATGATCTACTTTTTTGAGTCGAAATGTTCATTGTCATCTGAATATTAGTTTTTACGTAATCGGCAATATGGAAGATAAACTATTTGAATGCCTTTACAGTTTTGATGGTTTATAGATAACAAAATGACGGCTGTGCCTTACACAATTAACAAGAACTCTCTTAGTGATATGTTAATTAGTACATGAACCTTAGACTTCGTCAGCTAATCACAACTATTATATAGCATGTTTCTAGTTACGTTTTTTAACGAATTATGATTTTAAAGTTCTTGGTTGATCCTCTTCAGAGGTTATATATTCTTTCCCTAAACCAAATGGTCATCTGCTGCATCCTCGGAGCACAGAACTGGGGGTTTTACTGACGAGAGGGAAGAAAAAAGAGCACTCATCAATCACATATTTCACTACGAAAGCAAAATTTTATTTCAAGATATGTATATCCATACATATGCATATATTTCAACGACTGTAGTGGAAATCTGATGTCCTTAGGAGACTTAGGAAAGCGTGCGTAAAAAATTTTAACGAAGAAATAAATAGGTATACAGTTATTTACATGCAAAGAAAGAAAGGTGAAGAGAATGAAGATTTATCATTAGCTTTGTCAAAATTTAACAAAACAATAAGAAATATCACTGAAATTTATCAGGCATTAAAACGATTTTGTTACATATGAAACTGAGCTGCTTACCTTCCAAATCATTATGTTCAACAGCTTTAGCTTTAATCTGATCATTCGGCGTCATGATGACCTTGTATGAACACAAGAGTAGCGCGAGGCACGGCTTCACGATTCTTAGTGAACATCGAAGTATCCTTTTAAGAACTTGACGAATTATGAAAATCATTCTTGGGATAGAAATTCTATGGACGGTTTTTGTTGTTCTTCTCCTATAGTTCATGCACACGTTGTTCCAAAGAGAATAGATTCAGGCAGAAAACTTCAAAACGACAAAATTGGATATGTCTTTGTTTGATAAACACACGTATTCCTATTGTTAGGAACGCAGACTGAGCAATGCAGTTTATGGTTTTTTTGTCGTTCAGGTTCATGCACACATTGTTCCAAAGGGTATCGTGGGAAATACAGATGTTCATGCAAACAACTTAAAAGCCACATATTGCATTTCTGTACGTTTGTTTGAGAATCGCGTGATTGTCTTTCAGTCCATTTCTAACCAAAATATCAATATTTGCATTATGAAGGAAAAAACTCAAGAATATCATTTTAGTTTGGGGCTTACTGTAATTTGCGAAACGAAACGAAACGCAGACTTTGGTAATCTAAAAACTATCAGAAACGTGTTAAGTGGAAATTAGTCTTCCTTGAAACAACAGTACTCCACTTAATAGCATATCTGGCGTTGACTGGGGTGTGCTCACACAGATGTGTGACTACATCTTGCATAAACAGTTTTTAAGTGGAAAATTAATCTCCCTTGAAATAACAGTACTCCGGTTAATAGCTTATCTGGCTTATCTGTGTGACTACATCTTGCATAAACAGTTTCAGTTCGCTGCACCAATTCAATCCATATCTCATATACTTCGTCCAGCTGAGCGTGAAAGTCCTACGATGTCTTTGTGTTAGATCAGGCTTTGAATTATGCATAAAATTTGCAGCCGAGCGTGAACGTTGTACCCATGTCGTTGTTTTGGATTATACCTTAATGAGGCATGAGGCAATGAGAGAAGTGATTCCGGACACACAGGAACATTGACATTGGTTACTGAGCACTGCAATACTTCACAAAAGTCGAAACTCGATGTTATTCAGAAACCACTTCTCTGTATGTGACGTTGAGCGAATAACACAGACAATTAAGACTCTTAATTGTCTGTGTTATTCCCATGTGTCCGGAACCACTTCTCTGTATGTTAGGTTGAGCAAATAACACATACAATTAAGACTCTTAATTGTCTGTGTTATTCCTGTGTGTCCGGAACCACTTCTCTGTATGTTAGGTTGAGCAAATATCACAGACAATTAAGACTCTTAATGGTCTGTGTTATTCCTGTGTGTCCGGAATCACTTCTCTGTATGTTAGGTTGAGATAATCAGATAGGAAACCAAGAAATCTTACTCGATATGTTTGCAGTTGATCGTTCATTTTGGTAAAATTTCCGCACAGCCCCATCCTACATTATGCATTCAGTTCTTGAACAGAGAAAACAATGACAAAAACAATACATTTCCGTTGGGAAAACAGATTTGTTTTACAATAGTATGGGGCTGTGCGGAAACTTTACCTTCATTTTTGACCGTGGCTAATTTTGAATTGTACACGGATTGACTTTTGTGATTACTACGTCGAAGTGTCCTCAGCAGTGGTTAAAAGTAAAGTTAACTAGTCTAAAATGATCTCGAACAGACTTCAGAGACAACGAAACAATCAGTGGTTAAAAAAGGGTACATTTTTGTCTCGCGCACACACTAAATGGATAACATCTCTCTTTAATCAATGACTGAGCTCAAAATTTGTTTCTCTCTTTATCTTTTTACACATCAAGCGTAGCCGTGAGGATGTACCACACCAAATGCCTATCTCTCCCTTCCCTTAAATATTCCTTTTGTTTCTTCGTTTCTTCAGCGTCTCTTTCCGAAAATATGGTGGTGAATGGAACTTCTCACGAAATCATTCGTCCAGTCCCTCGCCGGTTTGCGGTCGGAAGTGCGGGCGCAAGTCGCCATGAGATCCCTGGTCATTCACGGCCCCAGAGGACCCTGATAAATCCTTTTAAGCCGAACGAGATTCCTTGTAACTGGACGTGTAATCGACATCGGTGGTCACATGTTTTTCCCAAGGGGCCTGGGGGAGAGGTTCTCCATCGACACTATGAGAAACTCTCACCAGCTGAAAGCAACCCACAAATTAAAACTGAGAAGGTAGGTTTTTTTTCAATTCTTCAACTCCTAGAAGTGTATAACATGTAACTTCTTCCTTTAATATCCATACATTATCTAGCAAACAGAGAGTGAGAATACTCAAACTTATCAGATTGAAGTAGTTATCTTGATCTTAAACCAAATCTTGGATTACTTTCGATGCTCGAGAGACAATTTGTTGAAAACGCGTAAGACTTTGACACGATATTTGAGAGTTTGCTTCTAACTGGTCAATTCTGGTTAAGTTGTTAGGGCGAGATTTTAAACCAGACACCAAGAAACCCACGTAGCAGAGTAACGAAAATAAAAAACACAACAATTCTCAGCCTCCACACCTTCGCCTAAGGCTTAGGATCAGGAAAAGCGATCACCATTTGTTGAATTTAAATCCACTCATTTTCTATCTTCATTTGTATTTCAGTCACGTAGTGTCGAAGAAGCAGCACTTGCCGTCGTGGCAGCTCGCAAACAGGAAATGTCAGAAGTAAAGTCTCGGAGCATTTCGGAGGAGCAAGACTTATTGGACCCACTGATGATTAGTGAAGAGAATGAAGATACATACGAAGATGACGCCTTCATCCCAGAACTATCGTCGGGTATTCTAGGCCATTTTAGCCCGATTTCCGAACTAACAAAGACATCACAGAATACGACACCGAGGCGCCGATCTCAGCTACCACGAATTAATTTATATCGAGGGGTAGAGAAAACTCCCGATGAACATGATTGGACAGCTGCTGTCAAGACGAGTGTGGACTGGAAATCGCTGACGTGTCCTGCTCTTTTACCTCTGACCACAGATTACAGTCCAAGCAAACAGACACTGGAATCCGATTACTGTGAATATAATTACACTCTGTTAATTGAAGTAGAAGAAGAATATACAGAAGAGAAGAAGATTTCTGGCTGGGGAAAACAGGAAAGGTACACACGTGCCTGATTTTTGTCCATGCGTCATACGCATGGACAATTCTCAATTGAGTGTCGAAAGTAATCTGGGATTGCTTTGTTTTGTTTTACTTCGCTCTGTGGTTGGTCCAGAAAACTCACGCCACTCTTTCAACCAATCAAATGCAAAACTTAAACTAATCAAGACTTGGTCATCCGCGTTTTCGCGCGCTTTAGGCAGTTTGGTCGGTTTTACTTTGAGTTCTCATTGCCACTAGAAGGTATTTTCCTGCTTCTGATTGGCCGTTGTGAATACTTTGGTTTTGCTTTTAAGACAGCCAGTCGAAACACGCTCCATTTTCTTTCGGTCTGATTGGCTTTTGTGATAAACTTGGTTTTGGTATGACCAAACTTAATCGAATTACACTCGTTTAGCCGAAAACAGTACTTCCACTGTTTCATTTTTTTCCATAAAAGTTCAGGTAAACTTTAAGATTCTTTTTTCTTAAAATACTTAGTCATCTTGCCATTAACCATTTTGTCCGATCTGTTCCAGCTAATAATTGCCTTTACGTATGCTTATTTTTTATGGAATGATACTTCTCTAGTCTGCCGGAGGAAGATTCACATGGGGTTCCCCGGGGTTTAAGCGCGGAGATGTTATTCATGGAACTTGTCTCGCAACGAATTCGAAAGGTATTGGCCATTTTCACCCTGATGTCAGTAAGCATATTCCCTACACTGTTTTCTATACACTACCTAAGGTGCTGACAAGGCGAATTTGTTTAACGATTAATAGTTTCTGTAGTTGGTGATCGTGTACTTTATAAAACCTTTAACTAACAAGATCTGATTTTTAATTCTCCCCTCTAATTGCTAATCATGTCATTCTAAATAAGTGACAGTTTTGAACCTTATTCAAGATGCATTCGTTTTTCTTCTTTCCCATGTTGATAGGGATTTCAGTTGACCCCACTAAAGGGTAAACCAGCGCCTCCTAATAAGCCCCAGTCCATCGCGGCCATACCAGCCAAGTCAGATCACCAGGAATGCTTTCTTAGCATTGGACGGATCTCGCACAAGTTAAGCTTGACTTCACATGAGGTGACAGTGACCAAGTATAGACCACGCCATCAATTTGGTTCGCAACCTATCAAATACAGGTAAGATTGCTATAGCAAGTTCTTTTACGGTATCTTTGAGGCCATCTTCTAGTGATTTGTTGGAACTTCGGTCCAACCGTATCATTGTTAAATGAAATTTTCGCTTGCTTTTCAACCCCTTAGATCCAAAAGCACCAGTGTTTTCTCGCTCCTCGGATTATTTGATTTGTCACGGGCGCCCTGTGAGACTTTGCAAGGTAGCCTGCGTTGCGCGCAGACCGCCAGCAACGCAGGCTATTGCAGGGCGGCTGGGAGTAATTGGGTGCTATAAACACATGCACTTCTTTGTTTGGTTATTGAATTGATTTCCTCTTCGTTGTTGACTTATTTTTTTCATTATTCTTTGTACATAGTTATCGCCTTTGGATCCCACAAAGAAAACTGTTTGAACAAAATTATGGGGAATTCCGGCATGAAGAAATGGAAAATTATAACTGGAACTACTTGGACCAACATCTCTGCGGAGAAAGTGAATTTAAGGAGCTTATTGAGGTACTTCTATTCTGCTTTTGTTGCTGAAATCGGCGACTTCGTCACTCTAGAAGTAAAGTTCTAAAGACATCTACTTGTCAGAGTAGTAGCTTCTTTACAGCGCTCGTCAAAGCAACAAAATGCATTTCGTTGACAGATCGAATTATCTCGACAAGCAGTTTCGTTACAAAATATATTTGTAACTTCATGATAATTTTAGCATTATGATTTGTGATCATTCATTGATATATCTTGCTAGTTCAGTGAATTTTACAACTAAGCCGCTGCTGACATGGTTTGATGCTACTCTGGTTTACAGATTTAATTAATGTAACCGAAGAAGTAACAATTCATAGACCCAAAGTTTCGACACTCCTGTCTAGTGCCTTCATCAGGGGTGATCTAAACGCTGCAACAAGAAGTCCTTTCATACGATAACTAATTAGCTGCCTTTTTTCTGACGAGGTATAAATAGGCGTCACGAAGTCAGCTGACTGTCTACCATCTTCACTCGATTCGAAGGCTGAGGAGAGAAAATATGTTTCTAATGTCTTAAAGGCGAATGGCTATACAAAAACTTTTCTCCGTAACTGCCAAAAACCAGGTACAACTAGTAGCACTCCTGATGAAAGGGAACCAGCGAATGGTTTTGCTGTTATTCCTTACATTCAGGGTGTTACGGAACCCATCAAGAGAACTTTGAATAGCCACAACGTTAAAGTTGCTCAAAAATTTTTTCAGACTTTGGGGCATATTTTTTCCAAACCTAAGGATCCTGTCACGAAAGAACAACGAACTGACGCTATTTATTATTTTATTCCTTGCAATGACTGTGACAACGAATACATCGGACAAACCAAACGTCAGTTTGGTACATGCTTGAAAGAGCATCAAAAAGCGGTTTTCTTTTGCAAAAAAGGAAATTCAGCTTTATCGGACCACACATGCCTAACTAACCATACAATTGGGTGGGATAATTCTAAAATTATCACCACTAATCGGTGTTACCACCAGCGCCTTTGTTTGGAAGTTCGGCATATTAACTCCGCTCACGCTCATTTAAATCGTGATGATGGCGGCCTACTTCCTGACGCCTATTTCACCTCGTCAGAAAAAAGGCAGCTAATAGGTTTTCGTATAAAAGGACCTCTTGTTGCAGCGTTTAGATCACCCCTGATGAAGGCACTAGACAGGATTATCGAAACGTTGGGTCTATAAATTGTAACTTCTTCGGTTACATTCATTAAATCTGTAAACCAGAGTAGCATCAAACCATGTCTGATTGTTCACCTGGTTGCCATGTGAACTTTAATACATTTTAAGCCGCTGCTGTTGGATTAAAGCCTATTAGCTAGCTAATGAACATTTTCATAGTTTCATCAGAGCGAATCGCCATTCCCTCTGACGAAGGGCTAACACTCAAAACGTCAGCTTTAAAACTCTTTACGGAGGCCAATTTACGTTATCAACTCATTTGTTAACACAAATTTACCCTGTTATTTATTTTAAGTTGTTTTTGGTTTTTGTCCATGCTCTGAGGGTTTTTCATTTGTGTGTATTTTTTTCTAGAGTCTTCATTATTGGAAAGCACGTTTCTTGCTATTGCCATTTTTGCCGTTGTCTCAGCGTCAAGTGAAAGGATCAGGTCGTGAGGAAAAGAAGAAAACATCAACTCAGCAGGCCGACGTAGTGGATGGAATCGTGAGGTTCCTTGAGGTGCTAAATCGAATAAAACGTCATCAAACTCAGAAAACTCCTACAACCCCTAAGGTAAATTTCATAGAGAACAGCTATCATAAGTCTCCTTCGCAGCCTTTGTTTTATTGTTGTCACCCAACGCGCTCTCTCCCTCACCAAAGGAGACAACTGTCACACAATGCGCTCTCTCTCACATTAAACAACGGCTGCGAATAAGACAACTTTCATATTTAAGAAGCATGCAATAATACTTTATTACACTTTTGGTTCGAGTGCCTTTTTTCTTCTCGTTTTCTCCTGAGTGCGTCTTTCGCGACCTAGCGACCGCGTAGTAAGAAGCAACAAGTCAGATTTAAGAGCATAGTGGTTAAAATCCACACCTGTTTCGAGGCCAAAATGACTCAAAAACCACACACCAGGGGCGGCACATAATCCTTTAGCCTATATAAAGGGATACTCCTTTTGGTTCGGCCCCTCTTTGATTTTTTTTATTGGCTCCTGTGATTTCTATGGTTTCGGTTTTAAAACGCTCAATCAAAACATGCTCTGTTTAGTTTATGGGTTGTTAACCCTTTGACTCCCTAAAAGTGACTCGCATCTGGTATCTCCTTACATTTTCACCCCTGAATCAAACATTTAGGTAACGAGAATAATGTAAATAATCACCAACTAAAGAAGCCCTTGATTGTTAATCAATCAAAACTTCTCCTTGTCAGCATTGCAGGAGATATATGTATGGATAATTTGTATACTGATATTAGGTTGTGAAGGGTTGAGCTTCCGCCTTGTTTTATTCAAAGGATTCTAATCATTTTTTTTTCTTGTAACGTGTTTATTGATTTTCTATTTACAACATCTCGTTAGGATCGAAAACAGTCCGATGTGTCTATACCAACCCGTCGAATCAATAAACAACTCGAGCATAAAACATCCCGACCCATCCCTTGTGAGTTAACAGTAACAAGAGAAAACAGTTCTGCTCCCAGTAGTCCGTTGACCAACGGATCGCGGTCGTCCTCGGGAATAGGGGACGAACTTGGAAGTCCAGATTCACATGCCAGTCCATCTCGAGAGGTCGCTGGGTAAGTAGGTGTTTCAATGGCTGATATGATTTTTCCCTGCTAACCATAAAAATTACTATTTCCTCGGTTGTGATTTGTTTTAAAAGACTCCTATTTTCCACTAACTCACTCGCCAAGTTGTTATCGGAAAGTTTGTAATAGGATAGCTCAATAAGCCAATCACATTCAAGGTTGTAGTTTAAGTCAACCACTCACATTCAAAGTTGTAGTTTGAATCAACCAATCACAAATTTGGTTTCAATTACCATAAAGAGTGTGTACAGACTACTAAATTTTACAATTTACGCCTCCTTTGCCAGTCTTTTAATGCAAATTTTCCCTTTCTTTCATAACTTCGCTATTCTTCCTTTTTTTGGAAATTGTAATTTTGTTGGTAATAAGACTTCGTGTCGTCCAATTCAGTCTGTTATCAAACAAATCGAACTCCCGCTGCGCGGTCGTCCAATTTTGTTATCACTCGTATTACAGCCCGAATTGGACGACACGAAGTCCTATTACCATTACTATACCCTAACATCGATTCACGTGGTTTTACTTTGTAGTGAGCAACCTAAAACGGTCGATGACGCGTCAGTGAAACTCGACAGAGGCAAACTCTGTATAGAATCACCGCTGGAGAGTGTTGCAGAGGCCATGTTGGATCCTGGGTAGGTTTCCCTGTAATTTACATGAGGCACTTATTGTAAGTCAGAAGTCACCGACCAGACCTGTCAATCCTATGAAAGTGAAGGGCTGTGATATAAACTAACTGGGGCTCTGCTTTTAGGCCTGGCTAAATCTGTATGTCACGACACCAGTGCGCCTTGTTTCTCATTTTGCGGAATTTCAGATATTTCCTTTTATTTGAGATCCACATTTGGGTCACAACAGTTTTCGCTAGCTACCACATGACCCTAAGTTAAATACGGCAAACACTTGTAAAAACCCTCCAAGGCTCACAGAAACTCCACTGGAACCGCCAGATATTGTAAGTTATGATACTCAGAACCAACCCATAACGTCCGCCTACACGTCTTGCTATGAAGGATGGCAATAAGAGGTTACTTAATAAATCTGAGGCGTGTGGAACATGTGAGTCATTCAGTCTTTAGTTTCACGGATCTCTCCGCCAGTGGAGCTAACGCCACGACGCGATATATTACTGCGCGGGCTTTGCTTTCAAGGACAAACAATTAACACCGTTTTAGACAGAATAGCCAATATTATTTGATGTGATGTAGTTAGGCAGCTCTAAACAATAATAGAATAATTTCGCAATTAACCAACCATGCGAGCCAGTTCTGACCTACACAACTAGAATCACTCTCGCCTTTCTCTGGTTAAGAGAATAAAAAAGAATTTCACACTTTAAATATGTCCATATTTGGTAGAAATGAATTTGGCACCCACCGTCTAATTATTCGACAGAAAGGGCATGACTTTCCTACCAGAGGTCAAGGGGCTAAAACCCGCCAGCTTTCTGAGTTCGGAAGCGATTTCATGGATTTTACTCAACGTGGAAGGAGTTAATGCCAAGGAACAAGCCACTCAACTCTGCCAGGTCAGCGGTGATGTCTTCTTGAAGTTTAATGTTGGGGGTCGGGTAGGGAAACATTTATCACTTTATGCAAGAAGAAACGAAGATGCACTTTTTAGTGGATTATTCTTTTCAGTTTTGATGGAGTTTTAGTCTCTCTAAAGTGGAATAGTATTTGAAAGATCTGCGCATATTGCGCTCTTATAACATTCCTGAAAAATTCCTGGAATCAAAAATTTTCTTCCAGCTTAATTAAACGCTCGTTAAAGATTTTCTTTCCTAATCGCGCGAATTCTCGGAATGTCATGCATGTAAGGAAAGCTGTTAAATTTTTCTCATTTGGAAATCACCATTTCAAAGCATTGGGTCGTGGTATCTTATTCTTACATATTTACTCGAGGACACGTTCAAAGGAACCTTGTCTGGCACACGCCAACTTATAAAATAGCATATTTGGCATCGGCAGGTCAGCTATACATCGCGGAAAAAAGTTTTTCTAAGGTCAGAAGAGAGTCATTGAATCTCTGTATTGAGTCGCGAAACTTCTTTCGCTATGTATTTTAAATCAAACTGCGTTGAGGTGATTTCCAAACTCTTTTGAATTCAAACTTAGAAATTGTTTGAAGGGGGCTTTATCAAACATGCTTCCGACAGCACCGCCCAGAAACTGGTAGAGGGATTTGTCATCTTTTATTTCACTCCAAAGTCGTGTTGGAGAGAGAAAACGGAAGGTAAGTTTAATTTGGCCACTTTTTGATGACTGATTAAAACGAGTAATTAAGTTTGAACGGTTTACTTGGTGTTAGCCATGTGATTTCTGAAGTCGACACAGCGTAAGGGATCCGAAACATGTCCATGAAACAATTTCTGCTTCGTGTTCCTACACAAATTCCGGCTCTAAGACCCCGTATCATATTGTTGTATCATATCCCTGCACATTTAACCCGGTTCGTGTTCCTAGAAAATCTAATTCGAATCCACGAGCTTATGGGAGCAGTGTTAACAAAGGTATAGGTAAGAAAGTATTGTGGTCGACGCGGTGGCTTAATGGTTAGTGTGCTGGACTGTGCATCGAGAGACCTAGGTACGAGACCTAGTCCAGTCAATGTGGTGTACATGTGTTCTCGGGAAAAACACTCTACTCTCTCACACAGCGTCTCTCCGCCCGGGAACATAACTGGGTACCAGCGAATTGTCAGGGAAGCCTGATGACGTCGCGATGGACTTGCCGGGGGGGGGGTGTGTAGTCCCAGTCGCTTCCTGCTACTGTTTGAAGCCGGAATAACCTCCGTCTGGGTAGGCTTCTTGGTTGGAATGAAGATTTAACTTTACTTCAAGAACGTGTTATAATAATTCTTTATACTAAAGTCACGCTACAAATCGAATTTTGAAGTTGTTCTTAAAGGCGTTAAACAGGAATAAGCAATCATCAGCTTTCCTCAATAACACAACGCAGAAGCATTCCTTTTACTGGCTAAAAACAAGCGTGTCTCCTAAACAGTTAAATGCTTTGGTTAGTACAGCCAACCATCACAGACACGTCTTCTAAAAAAGAACATATTTGATCTTTGATTTTCAGATATGCTGGACAACATCGATCGCCCTCTTGTATCTCGCCAAGGTTTTATCGACGAGCATCGTCTGCGGTCGGATCGTTTTCAGTCTGATCTTTTACAGGCCTTTCAAATTGATTGGTTCGAGGTCGCTATCTGGCCAACCAAATCTGAAAAGGAGACCCCAGAGTTCTTAGCGCCTGATATAGAGATCGTTGCAAGTCCGGCGTGCTCTTCGGTTCGGAAGCCGCGCACTTGGACAAGATCGGCTCGTCGCAATTTCCATTCGGAGAGTGGTTTGTATAAATTATTAATTTCAATTGGTCATGCCTAGTTGAGTGAATGATGGATTGTAACTGTTTTCACCACAAACGATAGATAGTGTTTGTATCTGTTGGGAATTTTTTTGCACTTTAGCTATCAAAAACTGGGAAGGATTTAGGGACTAGTCATTTATCGCCTGAGAGGGAGGGATGGTGGTGGAGATTTTGGAGGATCCCATGTGTTCAGGGGAACGGAGAGGGTATCATTCGTCGCCACCAGAGTACCGAGGGGGGCTATAGCAAAGTGACTACCGAGCAACTGCCAATAGGGGTGGGGGTGGGGGCAAACAACATTATAGAACCTTATTGGGGGAGCAGGTTATTTTTTATCGTCACCCAACCAAAATGCTTCAATACCCCCCTTCCACCCCTCCCAGGCGATAAAAAAATAACCAGTCCTCCAGAAGCTCCTTGCTCAAACATAGATTGGGCCAAAAACGTGCCTCAGTTGACAGTTGACTGTATACTTGCGCTATGCAGGTTATGGCTGCGATCCTGCTTATAAATTTGTCACGTTAGATGCTGATCCTTATCACAAGAGCCCACGCCCAGAATCTTGCACAGTTCGTTATCACGGCAACTTCTCCCCTCTTCATGCATTTGAGATCGAACTTCATTGGATCGCGGCAACTGGGTGCATCGTGGGCGACATGGTAGGGAAATAAAATTAATTCTGCAAAGAAGGAACCAGTTTCATTTTAACCCTTTAATTCCTAGAGGCGTTTAACATGTTACTTCTCCCTATAATATCCATACATCATCCAGCAAACAGTTTATGAGAATATTCAAACTTATCAGGGAGAGGTTGTTAACTTGATCTAACACCAAAGTCTCGTAACTAATTACAGGGAAATGTGTAGCAGCTAAAGGGAGAATCAACAATCTCATCTTGGGAGTTAAATGGTTAATTGTTAATATTCTCTATGTTGTAATTTTTCTAAGAGCACCTGATTCAGTTGGCTTCTCACTCATGTCTTCAGGTTAGTTCTTGGTCGAGGAAGGCACCGTCTTGTGGTTTTCATCTAGTCCCCGTCCCAGTAAGTCCATTTCCTGATCCAAAAAGTAAGAATGTGGATCCTTTTCGTTTACCGGTTTTCATTCAGCTGAATCTGTCCAACTGCACCGCAGACGCAAGCAGCCTGTTTGAAGGTACAAGTAACATTTTAATTAAAGATTTAGAAACAAGCTGTTGCGAAATAAATAAATCTAACTCTGTGGCTGCTTGAGTTAGCCAACAACAACTTGTAATCATTTTCGTAGAATTTGAATGTTCCACCCGAAGTCGAAGATTGTTTTTGTTCTTGGAAGCCATTCTTCAAAGGTGAGTACCTTCTTTGATCAATATTTTTCTTCTGGTATTATTACCTTACTTTAAGAGGATTCTTGATCATGGAATATGGAGGAATTAAGATGAAAAAGAACGTGCAAGGAATAGAGATTTTTGTGTTGATAATTGGATAATTGGATAATTGGTAGGAGATGAATGTCGGCGCGCTGAAATCCGAGAAGAGAGGACTGGGTTCGATACCTGGCCAGGTCAATATGTTGTGTTTTTGGGCAAAACATTCTACTTTCATACTGTCTCTCTCCACCCTGAAAAATGAGTACCGGCGAATTGCCAGGGAAGGCTGATGAAATGCTTGGGGGGGGGGTTAATCTTGCGTTTGGCTAACATCCCATTCAAGGGGTAGTAGAAGTACTTCTAACAAGCACCGGCTGGGTTACTAAGCTCGAATACAGACTCAACCAAACTTAACCCAATAGACTAATTTCTATTGGTGATACAAGGCTAACAAGGTTGTTGAACGCCCTTTTGGTGCATTTCAACTGGAAAGGATTCTCTCCTTGAGCTTTGTTTCGTGTATTTTTTTTCTTTCAAGGTTTGGTTATATCCGGGATACACCTTATGGTTCAACGCACGTGAGTACGCCTATGATGCAAGTGACTCCAGTGCAGTGTCGAGAGAACGACTACGTGCACACGAGCGGAGTTGCCTTTGTCCGAATCCTCCTGAACTGGGACGAAGATGAGGATCCTGTCGAGAGTGGTCCACCCAGGCCAGAGAAAGGGCAACTGTCGAGCTCTTCCTGGGGGTTTTATTGGATGCAGAACTATATGTTGACAAAGCGGTGGCGCTCCGCGGCGACGGGAGATAATGAGGCTGCTGACAAACTGCGGGGTGAACTGGAAGACTTCTGTGCAGATAAAGAAGGTGTTCTGAGTAGCTTTTGGGAGTCTTGCCACGAAGCTGCTAGAAGAGAAGCACAAAAACGAATTGAAAAAGACGAGGCCGAAGCCAAAATGAACTATAAAGAGACGTCAGAAATAACTCGACATGAAGATAGCTACGATCCGCAAAATCTGGAGCGTGGTTAGATTATTATTCCAATGGTAAATGTTTGATCACTCAGTGGGAAATCGAAAGGTTAAATCTCATCGTTACATCGATCAGTAATGGTATCTTGAAAGATCTGCGCAGACGACGCGTTCCATTACGTTGTCGAAAAGGCTGGTAAACTGATCATACCATTCAAGGCAATAGCTCTTTGCTTTTAAACCTCCTGACAAGAATCTATGGAACAACAGAGAAAACTAAGTTGGTCACCTAACGATCCCGAAGGGAAATAGTATGGTAAAGAATTTAAAAATGGGAAGGGAAGTTTCTTGAGATCTCATTTATCAATGGTTTTGTCTGCCTGTAGCCATCGTTAGCCATGTTGCTCACTTAGTATTAGGAGTCACTCCGTTAAAAGTAAGTCCAAAATTAGAGTCTGAAATCCCGAATAAAATAGTGTTGCGTGATTTGTCTACATAAAACGTTCATCAATAATCTAAACGTTCACGATTTACTTTTGTTTAATACTTAAAATTTTGCTTAAAGAATCGATCGTCGAACTGCAGTTTATTATCGTCTTATTTGCCCAATTCGACAGAAAAGTACGCGTTAAAATTATCGTTTCATACGAAGAACCAGTAGTGAAGGTATTGACACTAGGGATGGGAAAATTATTTACTGCCCATGTATACCCAAGATAGTTATTTTAATTTAATGATAGATGTATGTAAAGACAAGAGAAAATTATATTTGTATCAAAATTTAAGGTCAGTCGACCCAATATGAAACTCGTAAACTTTTGAAGGTCTCTTATCTGATTTTTGGTAGTTTAAAAAACGATCCGAAATGACTTTCCCTTTCCACCCTAAAACTAGCATTCAAATTCTCAACACTGTTTTCTTTATATTTTCCTATGGCACTGACAAGGAGAATTTGTTTGACAATCAGGAGCTTCATAAAACTGGTTATTATTTATTCCCGTCGCCTTTTCATATGATTTCTGTTGGTAATCACATGATTTCGAATGCAATTTGGGATGATCAACATGAGTTAATTTTTCCAAGGCTAACCAAACTTTAAAGACCTCTCGCAAGAATAATTGAGCGTTTGTACTCTTTCTGTGTTTGGTATCGGTCGACAGCAGTAACCATCACACTAAAGTTATCACGATCGTAACCCATCCCGTATTTTCGTACAAACTGTTGCGTGAAACTCCTCCTGAAATTTATTCAGGGTCTCTGGTTCATAATGTTATATCCGTTTTGGAGCTAGAATTTTTAGCCAGTTGATTTTCCTTCGTGAAATGCTTTTTTTTACGCATTCTCCTTCAAACTCTGAATTTAATCACTGTTTCTTTCTTCTAACTTGTCCGCCATTTTGTTTTGGCGTGCTTTTGCGTCTTACCTGTCAATCAATTTAATTTCAACTTTCTGCTCTCAATTTCAACTTTCTTCTCTGTTTGGGATTAATTGACGTGTTCTCAGCCGATGAACTTATTGAAATTTTTGCAAGTATATTATTAAACGTGATACCGTGAAAAGGAATTGCAAGTCAGACGCGTAATGGGATTAAAAGGATCAGATGCTGCATGTTAAAAATGTGTACAGGAGGTAACTCCGGTTTTTAATTGGCTGTTGGCCATAATCAAGAGCAAGAACGGCGAACAAATACTTGACAGTGAAGAGTTGGGGAACGAGAAACAAGGGTATCAGGGAGAGCAGGCACCCTTCAGGAGCTTCAGCGTCCCGTCCCCCCCCCCTCTCTTATTCTAACTTTATGATCTCCCTCATCCGTAGCGAAAATCCATATGTACTTATTGTTGGAGAAAGTATGTGGTATTCAAACCTTGGCCGTCGAATTCATCGACGAGCACAAAGCCCTTATAAGCTTCTGTTCTTGATCCGACTACATTTATTTACTTCCATGAGAAGCCACATTTGACGAGCTGTCAGTTAATGGATTAGAGAATTAAAAGTGTTCTACAGGGTGTTCGATCGTTTCGAATCCAAATGGAGAACATTTTACACTTGGGTAAATAGAACAAGACAGCTGGTAAATTTTGCGCTCGGTAGAAGGATCGATGTTTTTTGTCTTGACACGAGCTTGGGGCAGAGGAAAAAGAATCTAAGTTCCCGTTAGGAATCGAACCCCAGACCTTCGCGCTCAAAATTTACCGTCCATTTACTAAGATATCACTTCCGAAATAGCTGATCTTCGGAGTGTGCAGAACGTGCGTGTCAAAATGTGAACATAATAATGTGGATTTTTAACTCTTAAAATCTAATTGCTTATTCTCCCTTCGAACTTCTGCACATTTCCTTGTGAATTAGTCCCAAGAATTTAGTGTTAGAACAAGATAAGAACTTCTAAACGGATAAGTTTAAGTATTCCCATTACCAGTTTGCTAAATAAGTTATTGATTTTATAGGGAGAAATTACATGTTAATCACTTCTCGGAGTTAAGGTCAATGGCCATAGTCGCTTGTGAATTTTCTCTGGAACTCAGAGGTGGAGCATCGTAGGGCGGAATCGGATGTTAGCTCCGATTTCATCATTTTCTACATTTAAAACTGTCAATGTCCCAATCTTGAATGGGAAAAAAAATCTATCAGACTGGCTACCAGTCTCCCTTTGTTTCTCACATAGCTGATATCCAAAAACGTCACGCAACATTTGCAATCAAATTCATCAAGATGTCTCTTCGGAGGGCTTTACATTTTGTCTTTAAAATTGCCAACAGAAACGAAACGATGAAATTCTATCGCGAAATTCTGGGCATGAAGGTTAGTATCACTTTTTTTGAGCGCTCTTTCGCGATTTAAAGCTTCCTTAAATCTTATGTTTAGTATAGGCACAGCTGTAAACAGTTTCAATTTCCAAAATTGTATAACTTGACCCGACAGGTAATGAAACATTGCTCGTGAGTTTGAGTATACTTGCATTGTCTTTGGCTACCATCGAACCAAATATCGTCTGTAACAACAATTTTAAACTCTAAAAAAGTAGTTGTTTTGTCTTCCATGGATACGATTTGAACATTTTAAAATGAGTTTTAAAAATGTAATAACGTGATAGTCCCGTGATATCAGAAGCAAGTGTTAACCTACCGATGTTATGTGCTTTTAATAGCACACATTTAGTTATTTCATCTGTTTATCAAAATATTCAAATCTATATCAATTTTAAGGTTCATAACCGAAATTTTACAAGGATAACACATCAGAAAACCTTTGAGAAAAGACAGCATTCTGGTTACTCGATTTTATTCATCTTCTTCTTGAGGAACTAAATATAGGCTTACAAGCCTTACTGGTTGTTAAGAGGTTTCCTCGCCATTAAACTTTTCTTGTTTTCTTTCGCAATTGTAGTAAATTACAGTTATATTATATGTAATGGCAAATAAAGTAAATAAATTAATAAATAAACCTGAAACTCAACGGAAGTCTTCTCAAAAATACATGTATTATTGTATACTGTATATTGGTATTGACCTTGCCATTTGATTGTGAAGAATTCCTAATTTTATTTGACTTTCTATGCTTGGCTTTAAGTAATAAAAAATTGGATTTCAGGTTAATTGACTTGGCTTGAGTGACACATCATATCATTTCTGCTTTTCTTTGTGTATTTTTTTTCCTTCTTCTATGCAAATTTGTATCATGGCAGAGAAATAGAAGTGAGGTAATCACCCTGTTCCTAAACCATCATCTTCTGCCTCCCCTCCCCTGCTGCCACCCTGTCATCTCCCAGCCTTCATGATCTCTCTCCATTCTCACTCTCACTAGGTTCCAGCCTCTCTCCTTTTCTTCTCCTTCCACCAATGAATTTTTTTTTCTCTTCTCCTAAGCTCTCACCCCCATTCCCACCCCCCTACGCAGTCATTTAGCTGAGGTAGACATTATATAATTCATTTCTTTGTCCAACAGGTTTTGAGGCATGAAGAATTTGAAGAAGGATGTAAAGCTTCATGTAATGGGTATTTGCATGAATCATTTTTATCATTCAAGATTTTTTTTTATACCACTCCAGTGTTATTTGCACCCCTACCCCCATTCCTACTAACAAATTTTATCTAGGAATTGTTTTTCATTCCTGGTGGGGCACACAGTCCTTTAAATAAAACTGTGTTGCCAAAGTTTGGGGGGCAAACAAGGTGTATTATGGCTTGGCAAAAATAGGGAATGAGAATCTTTCCACTTCCTCTGGACAGCTTTCAGTTTACTTTTTACTCAAATCACTTTATTTTGCATCTAAATTGTTACACAATCCTTATACAAGAACTGTATTGTTTTGAAGTTAGAGAAATTATCAAGTGTAATTGAGGGCTGTGGTTCATGTCAAACATAATTTGGCCATAATTTTACCCAAAGGATGTCAGTAATTTAGACAAGAGATTTTGAGACAATTTGCCAAATAAACTTGACCCAAAGATTGGAAATCCATCACTTTACCTTTCAAATAAAGGAAAATTAGAGATCAGAATTCTGAGATGTTACTTTTGAATTGATGAGAGTGTGGGATTCTGTTGAGTGACACTTAATATCTTAGTTTTTTATGTTCATAGATGGTTCTTTTGAAAGTTTAGTTCAGTAGCCACTTATTGATAACATATACCAATTTGATTTTATTAATTATTTTAGACCCTATGATGGCAAGTGGAGTAAAACAATGGCAGGATTTGGACCAGAGGATGATCATTTTGTTGTGGAACTGACATACAACTATGGAATTAAAACATATCAGCTAGGAAATGATTTTCAGGTGACTATCTACCACCAGGGATATGGAACCTTCATGGCTATTTTTCCCCTGCCAACAAAAATACAATTCCTCTCCTGGGGTTAACAGGGGTAATGTGGCAGTAAGAACTCTCTCCCTCCATCTTACAGTGCTAGTTTGATTCCAGTAATAGCTGCCATTGTTTTGGTTGATGGTGTTGTAGCTTGTCCTTGTATCATAGAGCTCTTATAGATCCTTTTGTTTTCCTCCCTTTCTAAAAAATAACATGCCAACTTGACCCTTTTTTTCACTCTTTACATCTTAACACCAGTATGCATATTCTCCATACTGTTCTTTATACATTTCTTAACATGCTGACAAAGGGAATTTTTTTAAATGTTTGATTCAGGGGTGATTTTATATGGAGAAATTAGATGCTAGTTGCTCCTAGGGGTTATAGAGTTACAGGCCTGAGGTTATTCCCTGCCAGATGGTTACATCCACAGCACACCCTTAATTAAAATTAGGTGTCTTCCTACTTCAACAAATTAGCAGACTTTTCCAAAGGAATGACAGCAAGGGTGGCTTAATTATATACTTGAGATGAAAAAAAAAATCTATCCAAGGGGTTTTCATGTTCTGGAACAACGAAATAGATTATTGCTATTATAATAATAAATTAAAGTTTTCACGAATCCCTTGAGCATAGAGGTTAACCCTTGAACTCCCAGAAGTAATTAACATGTAGATTCTCCCCATTATATCCATACATTATCCATCAAAAAGGTTATAAGAATACTCTAACTTACCAGGTAACACTAAGATCTAATACCAAATTCTCATAACTCATTTACAAGGAAATGTGTAATAGCTGGAGGAGAGAATGAACAATCAGATCTTAGGAGTTAAAGGGCTAAAGGTGAAGATTTTAAAAGAACTAACTAAACTGAGACCTGAGCCTTTCTGGGTTTGATTTCTTTTTGTATAATCATTCCTTCCTCTGTGCAAATTGACTTAAAGTTTATTGAGTATAAATTATCCTCTGCAAGATATAATAAACTCTGCAGAGGTCATTTTGGATTGAGGTTATTGCTTAGGTTTTGTTTAGAAAGCAATAACCACTTTAAGACTATTTCTTGTTTGTGCAGGGAATAACTGTGCACTCAAAGACTGCTGTGTCAAATGCAAAGCAACACAGCTACCCTGTGACAGAAGAAGGAGAAGGTTGTCTCACTGTCAAAGCACCTGGGGGTTACAAGTTTACTCTGGTAGACCAGGATGTTATTGGTGGTAAGTTGGAATATGAATGAATGTGAACTTAGTTCCTTCTTCAAGTGTTACATGGATACTGTCTTAAAAAAAAAAATGATGACATAATCAGCTCCTCACAGATTTAAATCTTGGATAAGGTTGTTTGCTGAAAAATAAGCAATATGGAGTCTGCATTGCCTGTTATCCTTTAAATCCTAATGCCAGTATGCATAGTCTGCATGCACACTGTTCTCTATATATTTTCTAAGATGCTGGCAAGGAGAATCTGTTTAACAAGTAAAAGCTTCCTGTATTCTCATGGCCTAGATTTGTTATTCAGGGGTGATAGTATGTAAGGAGAAATTAGATGCCTGTCACTCTCAGGGGTCAAAGGTTAATGCTTGGTAAAAATGCATCGCTTTATTGGTATTTAGGTTAGCTAACAAGGCTTTGGTCTTCTAAAAGTTTTCTTTAGCCATGATAAGTGGTGTAAGGAAAGGTCTGTGATAAGTATCAAACAATAGGCAACCAACCAAAGGGTTGTTAATTAATCTTTTACACCCTGACATCTTTATGCATATTCTCCCTACTGTTTACTATTATATTTCTTATGGTGCTCACGAGGAGAATTTGTTTAATAATCAGGATCCTCTTTTGTTGGTGTCATTTCCTTTATTCTCATGACCTTAGCGTTTTATTAAGGGGAAAAATTGTAAGTAGAAATTAGATGCTAGTTATTATGATGGGTTTAAGGGTCAAAAATAAGATTATGAGCTTGAGACTTCTGTTGCACGATAAAAGATGATGGTAAAGCCTGCATCAGCTATTGGACATCAAGGTTGACAGCAGCTAGTCAAATTGTTTTCATGTAAATCTGGTAGCAGTTCATAAACAGGTTTATGTTTTAATTTGATCAGGTTTACAAGCACACATTGTAAGGATTCTCACTTAATTCTCTGTGTATTACAGAAAAGAGTAGTGTGACCAATCAGATTGAGGAATTTGTGATAGACAGCTTTTAGCATTATACTTACAGAGCCAGGTAAAAGGTCTGCCAAAGAAGTATAATTTATAAACCCTTTTCTATTTTTTCTTCAACAGATCCAGTAAAAAAAGTTTCCCTTGGAGTTTCAGACCTTGCCAAATCTTTACTATACTGGCAAAATTTATTGGGGATGACACTGTATGAAAAGACAGAGACAACAGCATTGTTAGGATATGATTCAGACAAGTGCAAGCTTGAACTTATTCACCTTGGACACCCAGTTGATCATGCAACCGCATTTGGACGCATTGCTTTCTCATGTCCAAGCAAACAGTTGCCAGATATTGAATCTTTGGTGAAAAATGAAGGTCATACAATACTTACACCACTTGTCAGTTTGGACACGCCAGGAAAGGCCACAGTGGAAGTGGTTATCTTAGCTGATCCGGTAGGTTGTAGAGGAAGAAGGGCACTGTCTATATATTCCCTCTGACGAAGAGCTAATGCTCGATACGGCAGCTTTAGAAAATTCGTCAGGGAGGCCAATTTACATTACCAACTCAGACAAACCCATAACCTAGTCATTCCAGAAAATAGAGATGAATCGGCCAAATGCACCATCAGTCATGCTTAGTTCTTTCGCTCCCGATATAGAGGATGACAAAGGGTTTATACGTGGTGCGTGATTACTAATGGTAATAGGACCGAATGGAGTCCAATTCGGTCTGTAATCAAACGAGTGATTAACAAAATTGGACGAGCGCGAAGCAGGAGTCAAATTTGTCAATCACTAGTTTGATTACATACAGAATTGGATGACAAGAATTTGAAGTCCTGTTACCAAATTATCATAACCGTTACAATTTTCGAAAACAAATACATTTAGGTCAAATATCTCTGGTAGAGACAATGTCGAAAGTAAAAAATTTCTCCATTTTGGAAATTCTTCAGTTTTTTTTAGGATAAGTGGTTGTTGCTATGGTTATTGGGATTTATTCTGTGATTGGTGGATTTGGCTGAGTGGACTTATTATGATTGGTTGCTTCAACTGTCCGATTAAAGCCAACTGTCCTATTACACTGTCCGATTACAGCTGTACAGAATGATTAGTTGACGAAATTTCTTCGAACCATGTGAATGTTCATTGATTTGACGATTGCGGCAGACTTTAGTCAAATTCGTCAAAGCGAAATCAGCTTGGTGGATTTGACGAATTTTAGTCAAAATCAGCCTGGCGGATTTGACGATGTTAACGAGTTGTAGTCAAATTCGTCAAAGCGAAATCAGCTTGGTGGATTTGACGATTTCCGACGAACTCTCACTAGTTTCGTTATTTCATGCATTTCTGGACATATCTTGTTTTGGAGCCACTGGCCCACCCGTAGTGGATAAATTTTTCAGGTTAGAAATAAACTGTGGATTCATAGTAAGTAATCAAAAGGTCTTGGATAGCTATTTTTAATGAATAAAGAGGGTACGTTTCTAAAGAAACTGTGGTGCTACAAGAAAGATGAAAAACTCTACAGCCAACATTTATCTTTCTAATCGGCACTCTTAATCCTCACGTTATTAACGAGCGCTTTTTTTTTCAACTCATTTTCACGTTGCCATACTCACATGTGGCTTAGCTCCATTTTTCTGCATGTAAACCACACACAACCTTCAATTCTTCTATTTTCTCTGACAAAGGGCAAACGGTCGAAACATCAGATTTAGAATCTCTTTACGGAGACCTGAATTTACATTATCGACTCAGTTGATAAGAACCATATTATCTGGTCATTAGTGAAAGCGGTTGTATTGGCTGATTCTGCTACAGTAAGCTTTATAAAAAGTTACTTTACGGAAAAGTTAGTTTAAGTTGCTTATCAATTAAACAAAATCCTTCTTTTGACACAGGGATCTCTACTGTATCTCTACAAGCATTTCTTTTATGAATAACAGATAAGACAACCTTGCATGTGGTGGTTTGTTTTATGGCAGCCATTTTAACTGGTCTGGAACTAGTCTTAAAAGGGTTTGAGATTGCTAAATGTGTGAAGAACAACAGAAACTCTGATCGCTTGTTAAGAATGATAATTTTTTTTTTATTGCTTTTTTTTTTACGGCTGATCTTAGCAGTATGCAGGACGCGTGTCATATGAACTACGTAATAGACCTCGCTCACCATAGAGTCTCTGTGGCTCAGTGGTAAAGCATCGGAGCACGGAATTTGCAGGTCTTAGGTTCGATTCCTCATGGGGACTCAGAATTTTTTCTTTGTCCCACGCTCGTGACAAGACGAAAAACATATTTCTTTATTTTTTATTAGCTTTCAAAGATTTCCAAGCCCCGTGTCTTGATGCATTTAGCTAAAGACTTGCGATGCATATCCATTTTTTAAATGGTCATCATAAAAACAAAGTGCAAAAACAAAATGAAGTTCATCTTTTGTTCAGATGTGAGAGCTCCCTCCGTTCTGTCTTGCCCTTTGCCGTACAGCGCAAAATCATAGTTTAGGAAAAAGATGTTATGGTTTCAGAAGAATGGTACATGAAGCTGAGAGCATTGTGGGTTTAGGTAGGGCATACCTGTTGGAAAATAAATATGATGCCTTCCTCCTCCTTCACTCTATAGGAAATTCATCAAGGTGCATTGCTCAGACAATCTGTTGGTTAAAACGTTGGTACTACCTTCAAATTTATATGTGATGTTTTACCTTTCATTTCAGGATGGACATGAAATTTGTTTTGTTGGCGATGAAGCATTTATAGAGTTGTCAACAGTGGATCCAAAAGGAGACGAACTTCTTGATACAGTGAGTTAGTTATTTGTCGTGTTTTAGAGGTACATGTCGAACTCGGCAAATCAATTGCGTTGAAATCATCAAACACCGTTAGCCACGGGTTAAGGGAAAAATAACTAAAAGTGTTCTACTGCCGAGAACGTAAGTTTTGAACTTTGTAAAGTGTTCTCGCATCTAGTTAGCCTGTGAGCAGGGTCCTCATTATTGGCGCTGCAGGACGAGCATTTCTCCGCCCACGGGTTGATTTGAGATGAGTCATGGAGAGGTTTGCCAGGGGTCTGGCACTAATAACGAGGCATTATCAGTACCAGAGTCCTTGCAGACTTCTTGCAGCTCAAGGCCACATGCTTTCTCGCGGGCCGAAGTTCATCAAATTGTTTCCCTAATCTGTGATACGCAAGTGTTTTGAAAGATTTTACCGATCATTATTTTTTTCTTTTTGACATTATTTCTTCCAGGCGATGGCAGAAGATAAGAGTGATGAGTGGTTTGCCGAAGTTGCCTCAGGAAAGAGATGGACACCGAAAAAGAAAAAGTAAAAAATAAAAATTCTGCACGGAATGATTTTAGAACGTGTTCAGACTTTAGAACTGTGCTTAGTTACATAGCGCTAAAAGAATAAAATCCTTACAGATAGTCAATACAATCCTTTTCCATAGTTTAGTAATTTAGATTGATTCAAGACGAAGGTTCTTGTAACAATGTTCCCTTTCTTTGCTAAGTGCTACGTAATGAAGAAACATATATTTTACTTTGTAAATGTCGAGCCCGTATCGCTACGTTCTCTGTTGGTCAGGTTTGTTGCCAAAATTTTTCATGGGCCTTACTCTGGATTACCATCGCAGGTTCAACCGTTTGAATTTTATTGGTTATTTATTCCTTTATTAAAAACGTACATAATCTAAAAACACGTACGTAAATTTACTTCCATGCATCTTGTGTTAAGAAATAAAAGTCAAATCAGTGGTTTGAGTACAATTGGCTGTGATCTTTTGTGTATCTTTGCGAAGAATTGCAAGGCTTTCATAAGTTTTTCAGTATTTAGGAGGTGAGACCCACATGCGACTTCATAGGTATAGCCGGTGTCCTAGCAAATTCTCTCCCCTTCCAGATTTGGACTCCCTATCGGGTGTAGATGTAGACCTGCTTTGCAATGACAACGACACTGACGAACTTGGAGAGATGGTTTTGGGAAATGCGTATATAACAACCCCTCTACCATTTCCAGTGTTGAAAATAATAAAAACTGTTATTCAAAAGTGTTTAATCAACATCTTTAAGATACTTTAAAATGTGGTAGAGAGGAACAATGTAAACGAGAGGAAATTTTTAAATCCTTTGTGACTAAGGTTCTGGACTCTATTTTCGTTAGGGATGGGTAAGTCTTTCTTTGGTGGTGTAACCACAAAGATGAACGTGCTAGTAACTGGTTACGTTTTACATGACGTGTGTCCAGACAAGTTCCTAAGGGGGTTCCCCTCCGTTTAATTCTTATTAATTGATTGATTCTGCAACGCCAATCGATATCGTGTTCTGGTCAAACAAAGTTTGAATTTCTGCTTGACCCTTTAAGAATTACTTGAATGCAATGCTTTCTACAAGAATGGGACCAAGGTCATTTACAATAAGGATTGTGGAATCCAGTTGAGGCTATACCTTCTTTGGTAATGATGAAAAAGAAAGGGGAAATAACAAATGATATTGGAATTACACTTGTCTTTTGATTAGGATCTTGCAGATAATAATGATTTTCTTTGTAAAAGCGATTCTTACTGTACAGTTTTATCAATTATCGTTGCGAAGTGTGACGGTCAAACTTCAAAAACATTCTTTGACAAATTAAAAACATGGCTTGAATTACTCAGTTACGCAAGCTTGTTGCTAACTCTAAAAATAGTCCGATCGTATTGCACAAATCTCGTATTTGCTACACAGGGTGTTTCCAACTTCTACTGGAAAGCTATCTTAAGTGCGATCATGCGTTCACTTCACCCTTAGATGCCTCTTGTGATCAGAGGGGGGCGCTCTTTACTTTTCACTTCTTTACTTCTTATTAATCATCCATTCGGCCTCTCTTACCTCAAAAGAATGGCTGGGGTTACTGAAAAGCTTCCACGAAACAAATACTCTTGAAAATGAAATTAGGAAACGGGAAATGGGAAATGGGAAATGGGATATAAACTACGGTAGATCAGCATTTTCGTGTCAGCGGATAAACAATAAACACTAAACATTTCGTATGCGTTGAAACAAAGCATACTTACCTAACATGGCTGAAGCATCGGAGAGCCGCACGTCTGAGGACAAAGCAAGTTGTACTCGAGTCTCTGCCAAGAATAACACAAGAAGGAGATTTGTCGGAACTAAGTCTAATGCTGGACAGACGACTGACAAACTCGCAGGTACATTGTAACTGATATTGGCTCGTAATTCACTGTGCACGTGCATACGTTCACGTTCGAATAGCTAGAGAAGGAACAGATTTGAATCGTTCCCACACTAAAACTGATTTTTAGCGCAATTTCATCTTTTATTTTCCTTTTTCGGTCGCATTTCTTCCCTGAAGCTGCACACAAAAAAAATTTTATAGTCATGTTGTACTCTATAAATGGATCCTAAGCCCAATAAATTAATTCGTTTTTGTTTTGTTTTGATTTGCCTTATTCGTAACCTTTCACAGTTACACATAACTCAATATACTAGTCGAAATCCTCAACCGTAGACCCGGTATAGATGCCTAAGTTTCTGAGCCTGGGGGAAAATAAGGTAATTAAGATTTTCGCTCAGACCAATTTCTTCATTATTTATTTGTTATGGTTCAAATCTTTTGCTTTCATTTTTTTTTAACCAGTTTAAAATAATTGTCAAACTAGCCTAAAATTTTCAAACTGGCTTAAAATTTTGAACTGTGTTTTCAAGTTACAAGATATCTTTTACAAAATTTACATGTAGTCAAGCATTCATTTAGCCCTCTGTTATTGAAATGCCCTCCATTTCCTGTTATTTTAGAAATAGGAGCAAATAAGAGAAGAGTTGTTCGTCAGATTCCAGATGAGATTGTAAACAATCTTGAGCTGCAAGATGCTGTGAGACAGGTAAATAACGAGAAACTTCACATGACCCTGGGTTCACTTGACCTTTAAACCCCGTAAGTGACCAGGAAAGAATTTCTCCTTACAATATCAGTACAATATCAAGCAGACAAGTGATGAGAATAAAGAAAAATATCAAAACTGAGATTATTAGCTGATCCAATACCCAACTTCTCAGAACTAACATCAAAATAATTGTTGTGCAGACAGCAAGGACTGAATTACTAATGAGATCTTGGAAGTAAAAGGGTTGAAAAAGTAAATTAATTTATTTAAAGCTCCTTTCGACTGATTTAGTTAAATAAAATCCAACTAGAATCATCATGGGGAATTTTCAGCCACCAGACTGAGGGTAAAAAACGGAATAAAAATGTGACTTCCTCAAGTATAAATGTATTGTAAGTTGCTCTCCAGAAACCTATATCCTTTTTGATATCACTGAGGCCTGTGGGATTGTTATTTTAGAATCAGGTCTTATTTTTCAAGTTTATTCTAATTTTGCAGTCTGTGTACTGAATTAAACATTGTTGTCCATCCACTTTTATTTCTGGTACTGTTTTTGTGCGTATTTGAAATGTGACGCATTTATAAGAGTGTGTTCTGGGTAACTAATTTTTCTGGAATGGTCATCCCCAAAAACAGGTCATAATAGTTTAACCAACCAGCTACAATTCATTTTCTATATATCAGATTTTCACTTAATATAGAGATCAGGGTAATTATTACTTTTCTGACTGAGGTAATTATTCCTTTTACAACAGTTACCTCCTAACTACAATTTTGAAATCTTCAAGACAGTGTGGAGGATTAAAGAAATAAATGCTAAAAGAGGTAAATAAGCCACTTTAGTGGTTAATTTTTGTTTGTTGCTGTGTTCTTATGCAACACACTTGACTCCACCTCATAATGCCTCTCTCCACCTGAGTGCAAAGGAAAAAAGATGAATTCTTTACCTGAACTAAGTGGCCCTGATCCTGTGGGAGCTTATCTGGGTTTTCATAGCATGAAGCAACAAGGAGTATTATCAGTACAACTCCCCCCCTGAATGGAATGCTGGTCCATCACTAGGTTACTCCCCAGCATTTTATCAGACTTCCCTGACAATTGGCCAGTATCCATTCATACTCCTGGGTGGATAGAGGCACTGTGAAAATAAAGTGTTTTGTGTTTTGACCAAGCCAGACCAGTACTTGGTCTCAAACCCAGACCTCTCCAGCCAGAGTCCAGTGCACTAACCATTATGCTGCAGCATAATGGCATCTTCCATGAGTACAAAAGAAAGGGTGAGATGGAAATGCAGTACTCCTTATCAATACATACTATAGAAATCATGATAAGCTTTAGTCCTTCTGTCATTTGATCTTGTATGCAGACCTTGGCCTTCAAATGTTGCCATGAAAAAAATGGAAAAATATGGTGTCATCTTCAACCACAATAGGCATAAATCAATGTCAGTTTCATGTTCTGTTTTTTTTTTTTTTTCAATCATCAGTGGCATTACAGTTCCCTGAAGGACTTCTCTTGTATGCTTGCACTATAGCAGACATTTTGGAAAGGTATTTCAAACCAATTCCTACCAAACTTTTAAAATTGTATTTTGTTATTTGTACACATAAATTGTTTGATACATTTCATATGTTGGAAGGATTGTAAAAAGTAGCAGTTGATAATTATTTCACTTTGAATGGACTGCAAGCCAGCTGTTTACCCACTGACAGCTTGCCTAAGTATAACAGGCATTTGTCAATTAACAAAATGATTCCATATTGCTGTGTATCTGTTCAGTAATAGTGTGTCACTGATGGTCTTACACAGACCTATAGCAATGCAGTGTAATCTATTAATTTGTTTTATGTGATAACAAAGCAAAATGTTATCAATGGTGACGTCAAGTAAATTGTATGCATCTCTCCTACAAATTAGCTCATATTAAGTAAAAACCATTCAAAATTCATAAATCATGTAATTTCAAATATTTTCAGCTTAACACTTGAAACTTCAGCTTTGAAACTCTTCATGGTGGCCAATTTATGCTATTAACTCAGTTGATAATACTAAATTATCCTGTTATTTACTCTCCCACCAATGCAGCACCACAGTTTCTTTAGAAACTTACCCCCTTTATTCATTTATGATATAATAATTATATGACTTATGGAGGATTCTGAAGGATTACAACTGTAAGATAATCTGCACATGCATACTTTTTCGCCCATGACTTCAAAAAAATTCATACAGAAAGTGGCTCAGGTTTTCAGCTCTGGATGACTGCCATTGTACTCAGTGGGACTTTTGTGTTAGATTCACAGGTTGTGATACAGTCATCATGGGGGATGTCACATATGGTGCTTGCTGTGTTGATGACTTCACTGCAAGGGCTCTTGGTTGTGATCTTATGGTTCACTATGGCCACAGCTGCTTGAGTAAGTTGTCATGGTTGTTAAATGTCTCAAAAAAATGTTGATAGACATCACTTAATCTTCTTCATCATAATGTAAACTCATATTATACCACAACTGAATCCTTTCTGCCTTGATCTTTTTCTTCTAACCTCCCAGTTTCACCTTTTGAAGTCCCCTTTGTCTCACCTTCTACTTCATAGTTCTTTCAAGTTGCCCTGTGTTTTTATTGCCCTTGCTCTCTGTTCTCTGCTTGAAGATATGTCTAAGTTTTGAATGATATTTTTTTGAGGAATCCTTGCTTTATAACTTTGATGCTTGAGCAACACAACAGTTCAATGTCAGTAGCATGGTATTTTGATGCAAACAATAGTGTTGCAATCAGTGGCTATGAATGTATGAAAAAAATTCAAGCCTGTGCTGGATTCAAACCCATGACCTTTGCGATACCAATGCAGTGTTCTACCATTACTGAGCTAACAAACCAACTGGGAGCTGGTCATTATGTTGGTTCATAATAAAACCATGAAGAGATTAATCAATTTTTTTTTTTTTGGAATTTTTTTAATTGTGACTTATTTATGTATATATTCACTCAAACTAGCACCCGTGTACTAAACAATAAGCAAGTTCAAATAAAGCTTATTACTACTACAATGACCATGAAGATAGTTGGTTGCAAGTTAGCACTTTCTTTTTATCAAATATGGTTATGAAGACTGAAAATGACACTTTATTAGACTAAGTTGTTTTGGTACAAGATATCCCTCATGAAATTCAACTCATTATATTTGCAACTTTTGGTCTTTTCTATTGATGCAAAATTGAAAGACCCTAAACAATTAGTAACCATATATACAGTACTGTAAGTAAGATAATGTGAAAAGGTTCATTATTTGTTCATTGTTTTATAGTTCCTATTGACTCAACTAAAGGAATAAAGATGTTATACGTATTTGTGGACATAAAGCTGGATGCCACACATTTTGTCAACACAGTCAGACACAATTTTGAAGCTGGAAAGTCACTTGCACTTTTGAGCACAATCCAGTTTGTGACAACACTTCAAGTATGTATTAAATGATTACACTGATGGGACAGTATTGGGATCATGTTTATTGTTGGTACTCTTGACTGATATAGCGGTCAATATATTGGTCGAGAGTTGGTCAATACTTAACCAATATATTGATTGACAGTCGGTTGACTGCTTCTTCTGGATGGGAGGAGCATCTCACATGGTTCACTATCAGGCATTTTGTCAAGTTTCCATGACAACCCACTGGTACCCATTTCTCTCCAAGCTAGAGAGAGGGGAGAGAGAATGCAACACAGTGACTTGGCTGAGACTTAAACCCTGTGGTTTGGACCCAGTGTCTCCTTTTATTGTGTTCATACTTTCAAATAATTTTGACATATATGTATTTAATTTGTTGTTTACCCAGGCTGTATATCAAGACCTGTGTAAAGATTATCAGGTAGAGATTCCGCAGTGTAAACCATTGTCACCTGGAGAGATTCTGGGCTGCACTGCTCCCAGAATAAAAGACAAGGATGCATTCATGTAAGAAAATTATTAAGCAAAACAAGGAAATAATCATGTAATTTAGTTCATTGTGAATTTAAGAAAACTGCACCAACTCTTTCATAGTGAGTATTCTTAAACAAATTGAACATTCTTTTGAAAATCTTTCTTATTATTTGTATTCATTGGTAAATCTAGTTGTTAGTACTGTAGTGGTTTAGTTTCATGAAAAATTTGCACCATTAGATCTGAAGCTATTTGCTTATAAATAAAACAATGATCTGAGCCAAGGATCACTGTTACTTTTAGGATGAAAATAAGGCAGTTTGTTCGTGTTTTCACCATGTCCGTTGTTTTGTCAGGAAAACTCCCATCGAGCCTCTGTCTTATTTCTGGAAGAATTGTTTGGCATTCTTCCTGCTGTGTCCATGGCATATTTATTGTTTAGCGATGTTGCCTAGCGACAACGGTGCCCACTTTGACTAAAATAATCATGTTTGTTCTGAAGACTAACTTAAAATCATTTAACCCTTTCATTCCCAAGATCTCATTAGTAATTCTCCTTGCTGTCTACCATGCAATTCTTTTGATGTTAGTGTGGAGAATTAAGTATAATTTAGTATCCATTTAAAACCGTTTTTCTAAACCGTTTAACGGAAAAGCGTTAGTGTCCGTTTTCCCATGGAGGGTCACATTTGATACTGGATGAACTTCAACTACCCTAATTGATATTTTCCTTTAGTTCATCACTTGTCTGCTTGATATTGTATTGATATTGTAAGGAGAAATTCTATCTTGGTCACTCATAGGAGTGAAAGGGTTAATCATTTAATTGGGTGGAAATTGAGTAAAAGAGTTATCAAAAACTAAATTGGGAAACAAAGTGGGTGTTATGTTTTTGATTAATGTGTTATTATTGCAATTATTCCTAATTAAATGTTTGTTTTGTCACTGTATTTACCATTTTGATTGTAAGAAGCGGCTATCATTTAGGCACATGCTACCGACCACAGCAGGTACTTGTTTCAATTTTTTCTCACTGGAATGATCTTTAGTTACTTAGGTGATGGAAGGTTTCATTTAGAGGCTGTCATGATTGCTAACCCTTCTACACCAGCATACAGGTACACATAGAGAACTTCAAGAGGCAGATTTTTTTACGTGTAACAAATAGCCTTGCCTTGCCTAACATGTAGCTTCATATTATTTCAATTGGTTGCAGTGCTCAACAGCTAGAGAGGCAGCACAGATTGAGCCATCATTAAAGCCTGATTTTTCAGACCTCTTTCGTGTAATTCTGTGAATAAAAATTCATCACTTTTTCGATTACAAAATTGTTTGCCTCTAGTAAAGGCATACTGTCTGTGTGGACAGAGTGCGATTCCCGTCTGTTCCAGTATTTTCCCTATGCCCTCACTAAAACAGACCCCCTACCGCCTTGTACGCTTTGGATTGTTAGATATTGTATACCTTTCTGGGCCTTTGAGACAAACAACTTTTAACTAAAATTCTACTGCAATTTCGCTTTCATCGCAGATACGATCCCTATAGCAAAGTGTTTTCCAGGGAATATTACGATATTGATGCCATGTTTCAAGCGAGGAAAGACGCCATAACTACAGCGTCAAGAGCTAAGAAATTTGGACTCATTCTAAGTACATTGGGAAGGCAAGGAAGTCCAAAGGTGCTAGAGGTATTGCATACAGTTAAAATGTGAAAATTTTATAAGTAAATATAGTTTTGAACGGAGTTCTACTTAAACCTTCAGTTGTGCGTTGAAAGTAATCGGCAATCAGTTCGCCATGTCATGGGTTGACTGACGTGAACAATCCAAGCTACCCTCTCAACCAATCAGGTGCAAGGCAAATATCAATCGTGACTCGGTCAATAATGTTGCTCTCACTGTACCTTTTAATTTTAGTTCCCATCGGGTTTTGATTATATTTTCGTAGTGATTGTAGTGATTGGACATCTGCTGGTGACTACTATGTTTTTGGTATTACGGCGCACTATCGAAATGCACTCTAAGACATGACTCAAACTCTCTCTGGACAAAATCAAGTCATTCTCGCATCTAAATATAATTTTTTCTGATGCAATTAACTTTGGGGGAGGCTGCAAATTTAAATTTAAATTCTCCAGTTTTCTTACGATGTAATGTGTGGAATATTTTCGTCTATGCAGAGGGATCTCTATTTTTTGGGCATCCTTATTTAAACGTTTTCTCCATTTGAGGGACACAAACTTTGATTAAAACCCTTGTATTCGATGCCGTCATTGAGGGGATATCCCTAGTTCAGGGATATTTTGCTCGTGACGGCTATTATTCATGTTATCATCTTTTCCAAAGAGCTCATAAAGCAGATTTCATGAATCCTTTCGTCTTCTAATTTTATCTGCAGAAGTTAGAAGAACGATTCAGCAAGGCGGGCTTGGAATATGTAATTGTACTCATGTCTGAAATATTTCCGGGTAAACTTGGATTGTTCGAGGACGTGGAAGCGTAAGTTGCTTTTCTTGTCAAGATGTGAAAACTGCTTTCCGTCGATAAGATAAGACAAGAACCGTCTTCACGTAAATTCTGTTTTGTCAAGTGTCCTTAACAAAAATCTCATATTAATGAGTCTTTTTCCAATGTGCCGCCCCCCCCCCCCTCCAAAAAAAAGAGATAGGCTCCATATAATTATTATGAAAGCTATTGAAAGGTAGTGCTTCTTCAATTTTTGAAATGTAAAAGTTTGGTTGAGGAATGAGCCATCTTCCTTCTTCCGTCGATGACGATATAAAATTTCACTGTATGGGAAACTTTCCCAGCATGCTACTAAAATTCGTTAAATTGTCAATTTCATACTGTGGTCCGTCTTGCCTGTGAGTGTGACTCCAACCCATCTGCGCAGGCTTCGTACGAGTCCTGGAAAACCTGGAAAGTCCTGGAATTTTATTTGACTTTTTCCAGGATGGAAAATCGTGGAAAAAAGACTACAGGTTCTGGAAAGTCCCAGAAATCTGTCAAAATCAAGCAATAAAGTTTTCAGAATTAACGTTATAAGAATTCTATGTCGACTGTAAGGAGAATTGATGTTGAAATCTTGGCTATGAAAGGGTAGGAGAGGAAATTTGGAGACTTGGAGAAATCAGCCTGAGTCCTGGAAAAGTCTAGAAATAGTCCTTGAAATTTTTTCCTGAAAAAGGGTTCGAACCCCGTCTGCAATTAAAACGTAGCTTAGCTTCCAAGGGATTTACTGATATTTATTTGTCACTTTGTAGATGGGTGCAAGTGGCTTGTCCACGATTGTCCATTGACTGGGGCTACGCTTTTCCTAAACCTCTACTGTCGCCTTATGAGGTAAAATAATTGAATTTCATTACTTTTAAATCCAGTTGAGCATGTTAGCAAATATCTTGAATGGTAAGGTCCATGTCATCTGCGGGAGACAAATGTTTAGATGCATTACACAAATGTTCAGATGCATAACACAAACCGGGAACTTAACGGTTCTCGTTTTTATACAGAAACTGAATCAAATAGTTTCAATTTCGAGACTAACAACAAAATGCAAGTAAGCGCAGGTAGAGACATTTTCCACCGGGTGTCGAAAAGCGATATGGAATAGCTTTGTTTTTACTTTCCTTCACCCTGTGATTGGTCCAAAAAACTCGCGCCACCATCTCAACCAATCAGATGCAAAAATAAAACCCAATCACGACTTGGTGACTCGCGTTTTCCCGCGCTTCAGGGACGTTGCCTGTTTTTACTTTGAGTTCTCATTGGTTAATGATGATGTTAACCTTTGTTCTGATTGGTAGTTGTGATTAGTTTGGTTTTGACTTTTGGACACTCACTAAAAAAAACCTGCTCTAATGCGAGTCCCTAAGTGTAGATTCGTTTTAGTTTTTTTCCGATTGGATGAGAGAGTGACGTAAGTATCTAGACCCATCATAGAACGAAAAACAGCAAAAGCAGTGGTATGGAGGTTTGCTTTGCTTTTTCAGTCAGTTGAAAAATGTTCTCATTGGAATTTTTTTCGTCTAATTTTACAGGCGTCAGTTGTGCTTGAACAAATCAAATGGCAAGAAAATTACCCAATGGATTTTTACGCAAACGCTAGTTTGGGACCCTGGACTGTGAATAATGAGCGGAACAGACAAATACCGGTTAGCAGAAGAAAAAAGAATTTACACACAGAAAAGCTATCTGCGGAAAATGTTCCATCAAACGTAGAAGTCAAAGAAGGATGTGATGGACAAACTAAGGAGTGTTGTGGGAAATGCCATCAAGAGAAGCTTCTTAAGTTACAAGATGATCTGAAAACTAGTCTACAGTAATACAGAGTGCTTCGAGCGAAAACAATCGCCTTGGAACAAAAGAAATATGGGAAACAGAAGGCTCCTACCTTATCTTTCACTTGAATGGAACAGAGAGATTTGCGATCGATCGTCGCCAAACCAAAATCACGTCGGCCAATCTAAAATGGAAAATATCACGAGAAGTAAATGAGCAGTGAAAACGGGTTAAGCGCGGGAAAACAAGAATGTTTAAACTATGATTAGTTATAACAATCAACGAGCGAATTGAAGCACAACCAGGAACGCCAAGTAAATGTCAACAGCCTGTTTAACATTAATGTGACTGAGTTCACAAGCAGGCGAATCGCAAATAAAATCAATCAAATTGATATCTTACGAACGTAATGTTAGGAGAACAGCAAACTCAGTCAAATCAAGAATTTGAAAAAGTTTAGGTTCTTAAAAGGACTATACATTGTACACAACTTACACACTTTTGTGTTCTGTCAAATCAATCAATCAATCACCCCGAGACACAAAATAAAACTGGCCACACGATCAAAAAACATCTATCTTAATTTAAGGGGGAGTTGTAATGCGCGTGCGTAGGTAGTGACCCATGAGGAGAGGTATGTCGATCCGTCCTTTTGTGATTCATCATGAGTGAGAGAGTAAGTTAGACAGTATCAGATGGTTTTCAAAGGGGCTTTCCATTAGAAAAAAAAGTTACCATTATTTTTTTTTTCTGTGCAATATTATGATCTTTGGATAATTCGACGTTTTGACTACCCCTCCCTAAGTATCAATGATGACAGTCTGAATGGCACGTATCTCTTAGATTGGTGGTAAGAGAGATTTGATGGCCCAGCACTCGGGCCAAAGTAGCTTCTAAAACAAAGATAATAAATGCACAATTCGCAGACAGAGCTTAAAAACGTCTTCGGAAACGGATTTTGAGAACAAAGGAGACTTTTGTCTGATTGGCGCGGAAATGGATTTTGAGTCGTTTGCTCGTTTGAATTTCAGTGATGTTGCTTCTAGGCGTTGATTCCCTTTACGTTTTTCTTTTACAGAGCAACCTCTAAAAACTTTGTACACCCCCTAAATGTTTTCAAAAATTAATTTTCTCCGTAAAAACACCTGAAATTGGAAAATGCCTTCAACGACAAGAAAATGCCTCACTTTCAAATGCCAGCCTTTTTTTTTCTTCGCAAATTTCGTTGAATTTTAAACCTCGTCCGCTTGAGACCGCGCTTTCATCATCCTCTTAACAAGAAGAGATCGCGATGACTCCGTCCTCACAGTGACGCTTTCTCAGATTTCCCTGAAATCCTGAGGTCAAGGAACCAAGGGCTAATACCTACCCACAATACCTTCGCAGTTGTAGCGTGTGCTTTTTTCCTCTGTCTACAATATCAAAAAGTCATTGACAGATTGTGTACATTTCACGAAGTAATTGGTAGGGACATTGTATAATGCATGGAGTGCAGTGTAACCATTTCTTTATTTGGGCCAAACTATTATAAAGAGGAATAAAACATTCCTCAGAAAAACACAAAGCCAATGAGATGTTGTATGAATTTATTTTGAGCATAAATTTTTCCCACTGATTCTGAACGACAATGAAAATAGTTCCTTGTATTGTAAACAATCACAACAACACTCACAAAAACCAAAAAAATTGTGTTTTCAGTTGGAAAACAAGGAGAAGAGTATGGGACCGACTTTTTCAGAAGTAGTCACGAGCGTGGGACAAAGGAAAAAAATCTGAGTCCTCATGAGGAATCGAGCCTCATAGAGACTCAGAATTTTTTTCTTTGTCCCATGCTCGTGACAAGACGAAAAAACATCTTCCTCTATTTCTTTACCGAGCTCAAAACTTATTATCTTTGGCTTATTATATTTACGAAGTAATCAATGTTTACAAGTGATGTAATTAACTTAACTCCAGCACGAATTCATCTTGAGTGATTTAAATATAGTATTTTTGTGAATTTTGATTTGATTTTGATTTTTTTTATCACTAAACTCAAAATTAGATTCTACTGTGTCTCAGAGTTTATTTGAAAATTTTTGCCATAAAAACTTTAATCTAGTAATGATGATAGTGTTTTGGATCAACCGAGTGGCGTGGCCACAAACACAACTCCTTCTTCTGCAATATTTTGTGATCCTAGTGCTAGTTTTGATAGTAAGCTTTTCATTTTATGCGTATTTTGTTAAGCTGTGTTAAATGCAAGAATATTGATGATATTGATGAGATTGTTAGGAATTTTGCACTTTAAGTCTGTGGAGGACCCAAAACACCATCATCACCAAATGTACACAATAAAATGAACCAAGGATTCAATTTAGTTTCGAAGGGTTTTAGTAATGGTGGTTTAGGCTGTTTGATGTATTGGAGCTTTATCTCTACAGTGGCAATAAGCTTAGAGGTGGTGTTGCTCATAGGATACATGTCTTTCTTTTCCGAGACAAGAGGCTACATCTACCGTTGCAAAAATTGAAGACTCTTTCCAAAATATGAGGAAGTACATCATGGCTGGCATCAAAGCATTGAACAAATTTTCCTTCGAGTCTGTTAGGATGAGAGCTTAGAAAGTGTACAGTGTGGGAAAGGGCAATTTTTTTTTTTACTGGGTCAGTTCTCCGTGAGTTCCAAAAGAAAAAAATATGTACTTATTGACTAAGTGTGAGGGCCAGACGGAAAATATTTGGCTCGAAGTCATGACGTACAGACCGAGCGAAGCGACGTGCCAAATATGACCGAGTGCTAAATATTTTCCTGTCTAGCTCGTACAAACTCGGTCCATAAGCATTTTATTATCTGACCACTTTGTTTTAACCTAAATAGGACGCGATAGAAGGGTGCACGCGGGAAAACCACAAAAAACGATTCTAGAATACAAACTCATCCCTGTTTTCTTGAGCTGGAGCTACAAAGACACATAATTAAACGAAAAACGCGACTTTTATATCGATTTTCCTTTTTCCTTTAAGTTTCTGCAGCAAAATTGTGTTAGTGCAAGGCCAGGACGACTTTTTCCGGACCTGCTCATATTAAAGTTTTTATTATAGTTTTCTAAAGGATTGTGCTCGCAAAGCCGTACGGTCATGTGATAAAAGTAATCCAGTCACTTAGCCAGCCATCTAAGGATGTTAGGAGGTTTCATGCGGCAGCATCTCAGCCCCGAGTTGCTATAACTGGTCAGCTAAAGAAGTTAAACAAACAAAGCACTTTTTGTAAAGAGAAGGAAACGTAGCTCACGCTCTTATGGTCAGGCCTTAATTCCGATTTCGGGGGCAATGGCAACACTTCCTTCCAAAAATTGCAAACTCCCCAACGCAGTCTAGCCAAAGTCCCCGCAAAGTGTTATAATTAACTCAGAATAGCCTCCGTAGAGGAAAGTAAATATAGGCTACTTTACTCTACTCTACTCTACTCTACAAGGTCAAATGTAACAGGAACAACTTTCCTGTGATGTACCTTTAATTCGATGGAGTCTTCTCCAAAGTTTCCACTGAAGAAAAAAAAAAATTATGGCGCGTTGAGCAGGCTATCAGCCTTTAATATGCCCGATTTCCCGAATCGAGTCGTAACCCATGGAATCATCAGCTTCAGCTTGAGTAAAAGAGGCGTTTATGATCCCATTCTCAAACTCAAATTGAGCGAATGAACATTAGTTTATGACCCAAAATTGTTTTATAGTTTTTTCCTGTGATAGTATGTTTGTCGACATACAATGTTGTCTATTGAAGATATTTGCAATTAAGAAACCCTATCTTTTTCTTTTTCGGAATAGTTGCGTGACGCCGTTAATGATTAACTGCTCTAAATTGATAGGAGTTAAATCAAATCACCCCAACTTCAAGGAATTGTTGCCTCAAGTTTCAAACAACCCTTGGACATAATAAGATAAAAATCCATCGCATTCTGTTAGTGTGAGAGAGATTCGTTGGAAGTGCATTTTTCGAGCTAATTTTAGCCTTTTACCCCAGGGATTTTATGTGGGGGCTCTAATACCCCAGGCATAAGCCGGGAGCCCGAACTACTCTGGATTCTTGAGTAACTTAGTGACCAGACATGGTTTGATGTTTCTCTGGTTTAAAGATTTAATGAATGTAACCGAAAAGTTACACTTCATAGATCCAACGTTTCGACACTCCCAGTAGTGCCTTCATCAGTGATCTAATCGCTGCAACAAGAGGTCCTTATAAATGATTACAAATTAGCTGCACTTTTTCTGACGAGATGTAAATAGGCGTCAGGTAATAAGCCGCCATCATCACGAGTGAAAAGAGCGTGGGCGGAGTTGATATGCCAGGCTTCCAAACAAAGGCGCTGGTGGTAATTTCAGAATTATCCCACCCAATTGGATGATTAGTTAGGCATGTGCGTTCCGACAAAGCTGAATTTTCTTTTTAGCCAAGAAGAACGCTTTCTGATGCTCTTTCAAACGTCCACTAAGCTGACGTTTGGTATGTTCTACAAACTCGTGATCACAGTCATTGCAAGGAATGGAATAAATAGCGTCGGTTCGTTGTTCTTTCGTGACAGGATCCTTAGGTTTGACAAAAATATGGCCTAAAGTCTGAAAAGGTTTTTGAACAACTTTGATGTTGCGGCCATTCAAACTTTATTAAATCTTTAAGACAGATTAGCATCATACCATGTCTGATTGTCCACCTGGTTGCCTTGTGAACTTAAATATAACTTAGTGACCCTTATAAGCTGTGAAAGTTTGAAGGAAATCAGCGAGATGGCATGTGTCACGCCTGCCCGGTCCTCTCGTTAACAGACTCATAAATACTTTGGATAATAGAACGACAATTTGATACCGGATTTTGAAATCCCACACCTTTGTCGTCACAATGTTGTGATTAAGGTGATTCTTCAATTCTGCACTGCGCATCCTGTACTGCGCAGAATGAGCGCCCGCAAATTCCGAGGACACGCTATTATTCTTCAATCCATGGACCAGGTAAAGAGGTACGATACTCTTTAGCTCTTGAACGGGCGAAGTGACCTGATCAGTCCCTCGTCGGACTGGCGATTCCAAACGCCACACCGTGAGATACAGTAAACATCAAAAAAAATATACCGCATCTTTAATCACAATGGGCTACAGATCACCATCAAAGCCAACAAACAGACCATCAACTTCCTAGACGTCACTTTCAACTTGAACAAAAGCACCTACCAGCGCTTCACAAAGCCTAACACCATACAACAATACGTCCACCGCGAGAGCAACCACCCACTAATCACCACAAAGAACATACCCGCCAGCATCAACAAACGACTGTCATCCCTTTCATCCAACAAAGCATCCTTCGACCCAGCCGCCCCTCTATATCAAAAAGCACTTTACGGAAGTGGATACATGTACACTGTACATTACGAACCACCTACAACTAATAAACGAAGAAGCAGGCAACGGAACTACATACTCTGGTACCCTAAAAGAAAATAACACTTTATTTCATCGCGTCTCCTTGCATCAAGATCACCCTACAACAGCGCAAGCAAAAGATGCAAACTCTGCCTCAAAGAAAAATTAATTATCATCTGCCGACCTGAATTATCATCACTTAATGAATGTA